CTTTGCATGCCTCACTGGCTCTGCCTATTTCCTCCCGGTGCCTGGGGTCTGCTAGCCCCGAGCCGCCTGTGCTCCCAGGCCTGGTGGCCACCGCCTTTTCCTGCCACAATGCTGCCCCTCGTACAAGTCGGGATGAATGGTTCATTGTTGGACTTCCATACAGTTCAATTTTTTGTCTGTTCTGGTTGTGTTTTTTGTTTCTAAATCTTTGTTGTCCTTAATTTTGGTTGTGTGAGGAGGCGCAGTGTTTCCCCCTATGCCAGCATCTTGGCCGGAAGTCCCCTACCTGAAATCCATTATTAAATAAAGCACTGACCCTCTGGGGCCTGAGGGATTAAAGAATACAAACTAAGCATACACCTAAAGTCACCGTATCCGGGCGTCAGCAGGTGCCAACACCGGCACACTGGCTAGGGCCCACGGGCTTTTAGTGGTCCCAAAAAAAGGTTTTCATTTCTTCTAAAATTGTGTGTGTATACATATGCATTTTCCAGCCTTGATTATATTCATGTGTGTATCAATGCAACTGCAAAGTACATTTTTAATACTTCTTGTAGAGTGAGGCCCACAAAGGCAAAAGGGCCTGGGGCCCAGGAAAGTCCCAAGTGGCTGTGGGAATCAGGGATATCAGAATCATTTGAGATGCTGAAAATGCAGATTTCTGGGCACCCCTCTAAGAGCTACAGAATCTGACTTTTTTTGGGGAGGGGCCAGGATTTGCAGTCTCAGCAGATACCTCAGGTGATTTAAAAACCAAACAAGTTTCAGAATCTGGCCCTAGAGATGCTGAGAGTACACCACTAAGACCTATCAGAGGCTCCAGGTGGGCTTGTTTCAGCAGGGGCTGCTTGCTGGGGTCAGTTTGCCCTTCACATTTACTGAACTAAACATGCACTGTACCCTTCCTGTAATTTTCAGCCAAATATTATTAATACTCTGAGTATCACTTGATGTTGTCTTATTTAACCGTCATCTTTTATCAGTCTGTGTTCATCATCAGACTCTCCTGTATTTGCCCTTAATAATAAAGATGTTTACCACCAAATGACATTTTCCAAGTATTTTACTCAAAAGAGGTAAATGACCTGTTTTTCTAGATTGGGGGTAAAGGTAACATTTACTGACTGTATCACTGTACCTTGGTTCAGTGCACCCTGATACTCAGCCTTGCCCTAAGTTAACCACTGGAGGAGGGGCAAATTAGACAGCAACCCTCTCCTTTTCTGTTTCTTTCTTTTATTGTAAAGCCCGAGTTGACATGCTGGTGGCTGAACACTTCCAGGCAATAAGGAGTGTCTGGCAATGCACTTTAACAGCAACAGCAAGAGTAATGTCAAGATGTCTGTATTAATGACGCAGCAACTGTGGCCCTCTACCAGCTGCACTACAAGGACAGGTGGTGTTTTCCTGGGCTTGGGAAGGGCACCTTTATTCCCCTATCAACCCCTGGTGCCTGGGTGCATCATCTGCACTGGTTTGCATGGGCAGCAGCTCTGACCTCAGCCTACAGATCGTCAAAAGAAAACTATGATAGGAAGGGAAACAAAGCCAGAAGGAAATATAACGGGGAGTCACAGATTGGCTGATATGTTCTTGAATTAGTAATATTAATTAGGAGTCATGTTCTGTAGTGGGTAGAACAAAAGGCTTGGTGACACAAGGGACCAAGATTTAGTTGCTTGCTCTGAGGGCCGTGACCCCAGTGACCTCAGGCAAGGATGCTTGTACTCAGAGCATCAGTTTCCTCAGCCTTAAAATGGGGATAAGAAAATTAAATGGATATAATTCTTACCTCACAAGACTTTGGGGGAATAAAATAAATACTGTATGTGAAAGCATCTATTGGGTTGGCTAAAAAGTTTAGCTTTTTTCTGTAAAATAAGTCTTCATTTTTAGCAATAACTGTTGATTTGCATATTTTGAGTATTTTGGCTATCTTTCACATTGTATAACATTGATTGTTCTCAATTAATGGCTTGATTTGATTGCTGTCAACTCCAACTGGTCTGTTTGACCTTGAAGCATCATCCAGCAAGAAATCTCTAGCATAAAATTTTGCAAACCACTTTTAACATATCCATTTAGTCACAGCACCTTCTCCATACACTGCTTAAACCTTTTGTTTGTGTTTCAGTTATGTTTTTACTTTTCTTGAAATAAAGCATAACACACCAAAATGTTGCGTGTTTCTTTCATCTTCAATGTTACAGAAAATGGCTACAGAAAAACTCACTAACTTTACTTCCGGCAAAGATGGAGGCATAGGTAGACACACTGTACCTCCTCACACAACCAAAAGGAGGATGACAACAATTTAAAAACAAAAACAACCAGAACTGATAGAAAATCGAACTGTATGGAAGTCTGACAACCAGGGAGTTAAAATAGACACATTCATCCCGACCGGTAGGAGGGGCAGAGACAGGCAGCTGGGAGGAGAGGACTCGCAGCAATGCAGCCTAGCATGGAAAGACCCAATGAGGTGGAAAGACCCAATGAGGCAGCAGATTGTGGAGGGGTGGGGTGCACAAGGTGGCTGGTGGCTGGGACCCAGACAACTCAGGGCCCTAGTGCAGGGAAATACAGCCTCAAACCACTGATTGAAAACACCTGTGGGGGTTAAGGTGCTGGAAGAAACTCCCAGCCTCATAGGAGTTCGTTGGAGAGACCCACAGGGTCCTAGAATGTACCCACCCACCCAGGAACTTGCACCAGGAGGGCCCAGTTTGCTTGTGGGAAGCGGGGGAACTAAAACCTGGCTGAGAGTGGAGCAAGCACCATTGTTCCCTCTCAGACCCCTTCCCCACATACAGCATCAGAAACCAGTGATGTGGGTTGCCCTACCCCGGTGAACACCTAAGGCTCTGCCCCTCACTACATAACAGGCACATCAAGACAAAAAAAAAAAAAAAAAAAAGGCCCAAATGAAAGCACAGATCAAAGCTCCAGAAAAAAACACAACTAAGCGACAAAGAGGTAACCAACCTATCATATACACAGTTCAAAACACTGGTGATCGGGATGCTCAGAATTGGTTGAATTTGGTCACAAATTAGATGAAAAAAATGAAGGCTATGCTGAGTGGAATAAAGGAAAATGTATAGGGAACCAATAGTGATGGGAGGAAACTGGGACTCTAATCAACAGTGTGGACCAAAGGAAGAAAGTAACACCCAATCAGAAAAGAATGAAGAAACAAGAATTCAAAAAAATGAGGAGAGGCTTAGGAACCTCCAAGACATCTTTAAACATTCCAACATCCAAATTATAGGAGTGCCGGAAGGAGAAGAGGAAGACCAAGAAATTGAAAGCTTATTTGAACAAATAATGAAGGAGAACTTCCTTAATCTGGCAAAGGAAATAGACTTCCAGGAAGTCCAGGAAGCTCAGAGAGTCCCAAAGAAGTTGGACCCAAAGAAGTTGGACCCAAAGAGGAACACACCAAGGCACATCATAATTACATTATCCAAGATTAAAATTAAGCAGGGAATCCTAGAATCAGCAAGAGAAAAGGAGGCAGTTACCTACAAAGGAGTGCCCATAGGGCTATCAGCTGATTTCTCAAAAGAGACCTTACAGGCAAGAAGGGGCTGGAAAGAAGTATTCCAAGTCATGAAAGGCAGGGACCTACATCCAAGATTGCTCTATCCAGCAAAGCTTTCATTTAGAAAATGGAAGGGCAGATAAAGTGTTCTCAGATAAGGTCAAATTCAGGGAGTTCATCACACCAAGCCCTTATTATATGAAATGTTGAAGGGACTTATCTAAGAAAAAGAAGATAAAAATACGAACAATGAAAGGACAGCAAACTCACAATTATTAACAACCACACCTAAAATAAAAACAAAAACAAGCTAAGCAAACAACTAGAAAAGGAACAGAATCACAGAAATAGGGATCAAATGAAGGGTTATTGGTGGGGAATTGGGAGGAGGAAAGAGAGGAAAAAGGTACAGAGAATAAGTAGCATTGATGGTAGGTACAAAATAGACGGGGCAGGGTAAGAATAGCATGAGAAATGTAGAAGCCAAAGAACTTACATGTATGACCCATGGACATGAACTAAAGTGGGGGGATGTGGGTGGGAGGGGGTGTGCAGGGTGGAGGGAAGTGAAGGGGGGAAAATGGGACAACTGTAATAGCATAATCAATAAAATACATTTTAAAAAATTCACTAATTTTGATTTTTTAATGCATAATGATATGATAGTTGTCATAATCTAACAAAATTGCTTCTAATGAAGTTAAAGACAACTAAGTGCTACTAGAACCATCTTATAGGAAAGACCAAATGAATTTTTTAAAGATTTTATTTATTTCTAGAGAGAGGGGAAGGAAGGGAGAAAGAGAGGGAAAGAAACATCGATGTGTGAGAGAGGTACATCAGTCGGTTGCCTCTTATAAGCCCCCTCTTAGGGACCTGGCCTGCAAACCAGGCCTGTGCCCTGACTGAGAATTGAAACCACAGACCTTTACGTTCACAGGCTGGCACTCAATTTGCTGAGCCACACTAGCCAGAGCCCCAATGAATTTTTTGGCCAACCCAATACTATCTGATAAAATCTAAGCGCTAAGTAGGTGTTCGAATCTGAAATTTACTTGTGGAAATTAACAAAGAAAGTTTCTTACTGTCCAACAGATACTGAGTTAGAAAATTAGCATTATGCTTAATACTTTTGGTTTATTTATGCACCTTTAAACCATCAAAAGTTAGGCTGCCAAGGAAAATATGCCATTTAATAATCTCAGAATTCATTTAATCTTTACCTAGCAGAGGGTTTCACACTAAAGACGTAGCAGGCTGTTATCCTACTGTTTTCACTGGGCAAAATTAACACCAAAAGAACTTATCAGAAGGCAGGTTTGGATTCAACATAAAAGGACCAGCTGGAGCTGTTACCAGTGAGAGACCCAAGTCAACCCCCCAACCCCTCCCCTCAGAGTTGGTTCCTTTAGTCTTGCCTCACTCCCAAGAGACGGATTCAAGCAAGAACAACACGTACAGTGGAAATGAGATAGCCAGTTTATTTATCAAGCATGAATGCAAAGCTGCAAGCAAGCACCCTGCTGATCTGCTCCACGTTCGGAGGAAATGCAGCTAGTAAGTTTGTTCTGGGCACTTGAGCTAAGACTACAACTCAGCTAATCTGACTGTGCCAACTATTGAGTTCAGGGGTTATGTACCTTAGCCAGCTTCTAGACTCCCCTCCTCTCCCTTCCAAAACTTGGGAATAACGTACAGCTATAAAGGCTTGCTTTCTCAGCTAGTAAAGGCTCTTTGCCTTAGTGAAATTGCTACAGAAGCTCCCTTTCCCAGCACAGAGTCTCAAGGGCTCCCCTCATCCTGCGCTATCCCTGCTCGTGATGTTCGGAGCACCCGGCAATCTTCTCAGCCCAGGCTCTGGACTGCTGAGTCAATGGGTGAGACATGTCTTCTTCCTCCCTGCCTTAACTTCCTACCTATCCTACCTGACGGGAGCCACGGCCGATGTGCTGCACAAGTCCATGGGTCATCTGACCACAGCTCCTGGGCTGTGCGGGGCACAGCGGCACTGTAACCCCAGAGCCCTGACTGGAGGCCTTGTGTCATGGGCCAGCTCATGAAAAACAAAGTTCACTATCACGGAACCTGTTCAGTTTGAGGCAACCTGACAAGAAGTCAAGGATGTTGAAGAAATGGTTCCTACCTGAGTAGGAGTTTGACTGGGATTTTTCATTTTTAATTGGCTTATGAAACATTTCTGGACTATCCATTGGACATCAGGCACAGACCCCCAACCAGGGATTAAAAAAAAATGAGTAAGACACCCTGTCTGCCCCCAGGAAAGACAGCAGTCCAACCCACTAAGTAAGATTGCCCCCCACAGTAAGTGGCATCCTGACGTGGGACCAGCTGGCTCCTCCGTGGCAGCGGAAAGTGCATAGCTGTGCCGTCTGCTTGTAAGATTAATGTTATTCTCATTCCTGAAAGTACAAACCTGTTCTTTTCTTCTGCGGATCTGATGTCCGTGGTTGTGGACACACACTTGTTAACTAAGTTACCTGATTTAAATCCCCAAGTTCACTGATTTCAAGAATGATTTACTCCAGTTATAAAAGAGAAGCTGAAGGCAGTCTAATTTCAGTGGCAAGGATCCTTTGATCTTAGAAAAAGATATTAAGATAAAAAAATCTAAAACTTTTTTTACAACTACACAGGTATATAGATCATCAACTTTCAACCAGTGCGCCACAAGAAGTTTTGAAACACGAAATACCTGACTGTTTAGTCAGGGGCACTGACCTCTTTTCCCTCAGTGCATCAAATAAAGCAAATGACAACCGCCCACATCACAAGAGCTTCCAGTGTAAATGAGTCAAAATGACACCTTCTTTTGTCAAATCAGCAAAAAATATATTTTTTTGGTTTTCCGCAGAATTTTGGTAACTCGTTTACGTGTGCTGTACATGAGAGGAAAAAGGCTGAAAATCCACTGGTAGAGGTGAATAACATCTTCTGGGAAGGATACCAAAACGTTATTTAAAAGTAATCAGGTACTCCGGGTAGGTATGGTTGTCATAAAATACCACAAACAAAGTTGGATTGTTCACATTATCTGTGACAGTGTCGTACAGGTCAGTAAAATTTTGAACGTTCTTTGGAGGAGGCACAATTAACGATGAATTTCCATTTGTGTATAATCCAGTAAGTACTCGCACATAATACATATGCTTTTTCCCATGTATGTCTGGTTTGGAGTATGTATTATGGGCAGAATAACTGGCATGGACGGCAAAATAGGTTCCCTTTCCATATGCCGCAGCTGTGAAAAGAAAAACATTTTTAGGCATTCCAATTTAGTCCATACTTTGATATATTGACCCAATATGTCAAATAATGTTAATATAATGTTCAGTTCTCTCTAACACCTCTTAAATTTTTTTCTATGTTTTTAATTTTAAAAAACCACTCCTCCACCTCAGAGGGCCAGCCAGTCCCTTTGGGATAAAACATGGTGAGTGTGAACATGTTGGCTGCCACATACATGGCCATGAACTTTGAGGGAACACAAGGCTCCACGTGGTTCCTTAGCCATTTTGGCTTCTCACGTCTGAGCCTCATGTGGAGCAGCCCCATCACTTGCTTCCTTACCATGCTTTCCGGCGTAACTGCGGTTAAAGCCATTTTTGTTGACATATGGCAGTGAGTCAGCGTCTGTGCCATGGAAGAGCAGCTTCTCGTTTTTTGTATTACCATTCTTCTCATCCATATTTTTTTTCTGGGTCTGGTAGACTTTCCAGAGATGTGGATTCTGGATCCTCTCAATCTGCAAATCAAGAAGGAAAAATATTCTGTCAGTGCTAAGAGCCTGCAGCAAGATAGAGCAAATAAAATATGACCACTATTTTTTTTTTTAGTATTTAAATTTATCCATTGTTACTTTTGTATTTACCTGCATAATTTTGTGCTTTCTTAGGTCAAATTACAGGATGTAGCTTATATTAGCTTGGCTTTTCAAAACTGATTAAAGTGTTTTGTGACATTACACATGCCTATTTTTTTAAAGTTCATAGCATTTATATATTTTTTTTATTGTTTTTCGGGTACAGTTGTCTCCATTTTTACCCCACCACGCCCTCCTGCCCCACCCATCCCCACCTCCCACCCTGGAACCTACCCCCTTTAGCTTTATCCATGTGTCCTTTATATATGTTCCTTGATGGCCCTTCCCATATTATCCCTCCCCCACCTCCTCTCTGGTTACTATAAGTTTGTTCTTTATTTCAATGTCTCAGATTGTATTTTGCTTGCTTGTTTGTTTTGTTGATTAGGTTCCACTTATAGGTGAGATCATATGGTATTTGTCCCTCGCCACTAGGCTTATTTCACTTAGCATAAAGCTTTCCAGTCCCATCCATGCTGTCACAAAGGGTAGGCACTCCGTCTTTCTTTCTGCTGTGTAGTATTCCACTGTGTAAATGTACCACAGTTTTTTGATCCACTCGCTTACTGATGGGCACTTGGGTTGCTTCCAAGACTTGGCTATTGTAAATTGTGCTGCTATAAACACTGGGGTGCATAGGTTCTTTTGAACTGGTGTTTCGGGGTTCTTAGGATGTAATCCCAACAGTGGTATTGTGGGGTGGAAAGGCAGTTCCATTTTTAGTTTTCTGAGGACATTCCAGAGTGTTTTCCACAGTGGCTGCACCAGTCTGCATGCCCACCAACAGTGCACTATTTCCACAGCCTCGTAGGCACTAGTTTGTTGATTTGTTTATGATGGCCATTCTGACTGGTGTGAAATGGTATCTCATTGTGGCTTTAATTTGTATTTCTCTCTCTTCTTTTAGTTTTTAGAGAGAGGGGAAGGGAGAAAGAGAGGGGAAGAAACAAATGTGTGGTTGCCTCTCACATGCCCTCTACTGGGGATCTGGCCTACAACCCTGGCACGTGCACTAGACCAGGAATCGAATCTGAAACCCCTTGGTTCACAGGCCCTCACTCAATCCACTGAGCCACACCAGCCAGGGCAACTCTCTGATGGCTAATGATGCTGAGCATCCTTTCATATGTCTCCGGGCCCTCTGTGTGTCCTCCAAGTGTCTGTTCAGGTCCTTTGCCCATTTTTTAATTGGGTTGTTTTATCTCACTGCCATTCCCCACTGAAAAGAATCAGGATTTCTTAGAGAAATGTCTGGTTCAAGCCTAAGACAGAGAAAGCAAAAGGTGAGTGAAGAGATCTTGTGCCAGAATGTGAAGAAATGCTAAAAGATTAATGGGGTCATCAAAAGGACCTCAGAGCCAATTTGAAAGGGTCCCTACTAGCCAAATGTAGGTTAACTTGTGCATCTAAAGGACTAATCACTATAATTAAATATAACATACTGATTTTTAAAGCAAAATATAAGAAAATTTCTTCTTTATAAAAGTGCCAGATTAAAAATGTAGAAGAAATGACAGAACTAAAAAATGACCATTTTCAACCTCCACTGTAAAAATGGATTTAGGAAAGGATCATCAATAAATGTTGTAGTTAATCCATAAAAGGTTGCTGGGGAACAGGGTACTTACTCCACAGTGACTAGAGTGTCACCCCACAGACCACCAGCTGATCCCAATGGGGAAACGTGGTGGGTGCCACCCGGACTAGTGGCCACACTTAGCCTTGTTAATAGTGTAACAACCTTGCCATGTGAAGCTTCATGTGCTGTGTCACCCATGAAATTTTCTTACAAGAAAATATTTACCTGAATTTAACCAAGCCCTTCAACCTAATTTCTGATTTACTAGAAATAAAAAGGATAGAGGAATAAACTAAACGACACTATGAAGAACCTGACAGATATAGAACCTGTAAGAAAACTGGCTTGGGTTCTTAAAAAAAAAATGACAATGACTGGCAGATAGAGCCAGAATGTGAGACATTCTGTAACACAAGTGGTTTAAATGCTTTAAAAAATTCAATATCATAAAAACATACTTTAAAGTGCAATAATATGATAGCCCTGGCTGGTGTAGCTCAGTGGATTGAGTGCGGGCCTGCGAACTAAAGGGTCACGGCTCGATTCCCAGTCGGGGCCCATGCCTGGGTTGCAGGCCATTTCCCAGCTGGGGATGCACGAGGGGCAACCATACATTGATGTTTCTCTCCCTCTTTCCCTCTCCTTTCTTCCCCTCTAAAGATAAATGAATAAAATCTTTCTAAAAAAAGTGCAGTAATATGAGTACTGTTCCAGATCAGAAGAGATGAAGGAGGCACAATGACCAAATGCAGTGTCTGAACCCAGATTAGGGAGGGGGTGGTGAGAATTAAAAATGTTTTCAGCAACAGGAAAAATTTGACTATTGCTTGTATATTGGAAATTATTGAATTATTGTTATTTTCTTACATGGGATAATGGTATTTGTTATTTGGGAGAGTGTTTTTATTCTCAGAAGATATGTGCTAAAATATTTAGGAGTGTCGTGATGTCTGCAACTTACTTTCAGCAAAATCTGAAAGTAGGGGAGAAAAAGCAAACGGGGCAAAATGTATGAATCCAGGTGGAAGTTTATGGATGTTACAAATTGTAGTCACAAGACGTAACAGTCATGGAGGATGACAGACCATCCATTTTCACGTTAATGTTTTCACACGATCAGAGACCTCCACAGAGGTGCCTTAAGTACTACCTAGCTCTGCTTTTGTTGGTGTCATGCACCAAGATGTGACATAAATTTTTTTTTGAAAAAAGGGTTCCACTACAAAAGAGTAGTGAAATCATTTCTCTGACAATACATGGCAAGCCTCCAGGTCACCGCAGCCACTGCTGGTCAGCAGGACGGTCCTGCCGGCTGGGCTTGCCATCACGTTACAGCGCGCCACTCGGTACCATCAGATGGTGTTTGAAATGAACCTTATTTGTCATCTCAGAACCATATCACACTTGAATCCCATTGTCTTACTGCCTCATGGAATTGTTTTTGCTCAACTGGTTTTCATTGAGAGATTTTTTTAAAGTGGTATAAAATTCAATATTTCATTTATTGTGAGGATGACTTTGAAGATATTCTCCGGTATTTGATTCACAGGATAAATCTCTTCAGGAGTCAGTCTCAGTACTATGAAAAGCTGTGAGTCTCCTGATCAAGTGGTTTGCTTTTTGATTTGTGGACAAGATTATGAATCTTGTAGCTGGTTATTTACTTCTTTGCTTTGTCTACTAGGAAGCTCAGGGACAAACTTGGCGGACCTCCTCTAGTAACTGTCTAGAACTTCCTGCTATGTACTTTTGTGAAATAACAATATTTCGGTGTCATCTTATTTTCCCTATTCTCCTTTTCTCTTTGTCCATTTTCTTCATCTATGTATTTTATCTGAACATATGGTACATATCTTTTAGGACACTTCAAATCTTTTTTGAATTATTATGTGCTTAACTACAGGAATAAACAGAATGGCGGCAGTGCAAATAGAAAGTCTGCAAATGAAGGAAGTGAAGACTTTACTGGCACACTCATGACTATGGATAAAGAGAAGGCACTCCAATCTCTAGCTTTACTCAGGCAGTGGTGGAACCAAGGACAGGAAGGAGGAAGGGAAAAGATCATTATTTAGAGATGATGAATTAGGTTTTAGGGATACTGATTTAGCAGATAGATAACCAAGTGGAGTTGTTTGGGTTTGTTTTTTTTTTGTTCTTTGAGGCCATTGAGAATATGTTCTAGAGCTGGAGTCAAAGATCCACACTGGTGATACGTTGATTTAAGAGCTATTAACACTGAAATAATAGCTGCACTTAAGAAGAGTAAAAACATCACCTGGTGAAGCAGAGACACGAGACCGAAGTAGAAATCCTGCAGGTAAAGCTGGGGTTAGGGCTTTGGAGGAGAAACAGGTGCCAGTGATAATGAAGAGAGATTTAACGAAGAAGAAAGCATCAAAATAATATTGCCACAGAAGTCAAGAAAGAACATAAATGTCAAAGAGCAATATTAATTTTTAAGAGTGGAAGATGCCAAAATAAATGAGATGAACAACGAAAGGACCAATGAATTTCCTAAGGAGACAAGCACTGTGACCAGGGGGGCAGAGACACATGCACAAGCCTGAGCTGAGAAGCCTCTGTGCGTCTCTCTGTAGTGGTTTGCTCCATATCAACTCCGACTTTAAAGCCGTATCTCTGGATTTTTACTAGCTTGCTTTACAAAGGAAATGTGTGCCTTTAGTATTCTAATATCGTATGGTAACCTGTTATATTGTAATAAATGACACAAGAATTTCAGTCTTAATGCCTCAGTAATTATGGTGACATGAATAGAATCTAGAGTCTAAAATGTAATTGCTATAAGATATTCTAGTTCTGGGTTAAAAATATATTAGAAAATGAATCCAAATGTATGCATCGAGGACCACAATACCCCCTACTTCTCCTGTGAAGAAACTCCACACCACCGGAAGGCTTACCTTCTCAATCTTGAAGTTTGAGCAGGTCTGATAAAACACAGTTGCCACATTGTTGTATTCCGCATGACTAGGTGGCAGGTCGACCAGACGGACATACTGCTGCATCATATCACACCAGTGAGCCGGGTTCCCAACTGCAATGTAGACATTTGAGGATACTCTCCACCCAGGAATGCTCATCTACACAGTCCCCCTTCCCAGTATGCTTTGAAAAACTGAGTACCCCTTGTGTTCTTATTTTACCATCTCCTAGTACAATGGGTTCAAGATAATTTCTTGGCTTTCCAGGAGAAAGCCAAGCGTTTTTCAAGCATGAACCACAGACAACCACAGAGCCAACCATGATGCTTGTTAAAACACACACACACACACACACCCCTATTACATCAAAATCTCTGAGGGGCAGAACATGTGTCCCTACATCTTAACAAGTTTTGATCATGCTCAGATCTGGGAGCTGCTGGTATAGTGACCCAGCTGCATGTGCTGCTCAGTCTCCAATCTGTCATAAGTTAATAGCTTAACAATAAATCATTTCCCTACAATGTTTTTAAATAGTCATTATTGTCTTATTTACAGTGCATGGATTTTTGCCAGAACTCCCCTCTGCAAGGCTCTCCACATCTGTTCTTTCATTGTTCTTCACAACTCCCTAAGAGTTGAGTCGGTGGTGGGTTTTGCTCTGTGGTGGTTTGTGATGGCAGCTCTGCCTCCCCGTCTGCTGAACAGAGTATCATTCCTGGCTTCTCATTTCTCCAGGGCTGCCCAGGGTCTGAGGAGTTCATTCACACTGCTCTCACAACAGATAAAGATAATGTACTGGAGGGGAAGCCATATTTTACTACCTTTCAGTGAAGGACAAGCATTCCCTTCTCGGGCAGCAGATCCAGTCAGAGAATCTGCAGGCTCATGTGCGTGTCAAAGAATCTTATTTTCAGGGCAGAGGAGGGAGTAGCTTCTGGGAGAAGATCCTACAGGCTTCCGATCCTCTCTGGGTATCAATTACAGATACAGAAAGTGCCCACTCCCTTGGTCTTCTCCCAGAAGACCAAGCTGTCTTCTGCCTTTTGTTCTATAAAACCCTGAGCCACTTTTCTTTGAAATTCATGGCTTTCCCTTTCCTAACAGAAGCAGCCATTACCACCCAGAAGAACTGGTTCTGGGAAGCTTGTAAACTTTAAAAATGCAGGGTCTGGCTAGTGTTACCACTAAGATGGTCATCCTTGGGCTGTGGGGCTCCCATGCTGTATTTTCCCAGCCATAATATAAGCTCCTTAAGCTGAGAGACACAGTTTTCTATTTTATTCCCTAAGAGTCATTTGAACTTTATCTATTTGAATACAGTTTTGATGTATGTACAAGAGTGTTAAGCCCAAAGGAAGTGTAAAGTAATGGGTAACAAGCATGAAGGTTTGACTCACCTTCAGATTTTGTGAGGCGCTGAACAGGTAAACTGTGTCCCTTTGTATCTGTAGCGACACACGATTTCAAGTCCACAGTGTAGCTCTGATTATTAATTTTGACATTAACTGTATTTTTATTGCTTTTTTTTGCATCCTCCAATTGCAGATTGGTCATTTTGTCAAAATGATGAAAAGTGTTATTGTCATTATATTGCCATTCTACAAACTCACTGACGTAGTCCGCTCTGGATTCCTGCTCTTTGGCTACTCTAGTCTTTTTGATCATTTCCTCAACTGCCTTCCTAACCTGTTCCACATCTCTGCTAATTCCGGTCACCTTAATCAAAGACCTTTGAGAGTCCCAGCAAAAGCTAATATTCAAGTTCTCGTGCCGCTTAATCAATTCCTGACATTCCTTTTCATCGAAGTCTTTGATACATTCGTCTTCACTGATGTAAATACTCTGTTCATTTTGTAGCAGATCCTGGATACAGGAGAGGGCGCGGTCCACACATTTTTCATTTTCACCACAAACCTGAAAAACTGCTGATTCTGTTTTCTTTTCCAAAACCAAAGGCTTTTGTTTTTTGGGAGTTTGCTTTGAGAAGCCAAGGAATGCTAAAAAAGAAAAGAAAAGAAAAGGGCATGCAACAAACGTTTGGATTTTAAAAAATTAGCTCTTAGCTACTTTTCGTTTCCTTCCTCCTTCCCTCCCTCCCTTCTTTCCAACCTTTTTCTTGTTTAGTCACTGAGCTGTACAACACACCCCCAGGACTTACTTAGGATTGCACCTTTGACCCCCTCCACTCATTTCGCCTGCCCCCTACCACCCCACCTCTGGTAACCACTCGCCTGTTCTCTGTATCTATGAGTTCTGTTTTTTTAAGATTCCACATATTAGAGGTATCATACATTACTTGTCATTCTCTGTCTTACTTCATTTAGCATTATGTCCTCAAGGACTATCCATATTATGGCAAATGGCAGGATTTCCTTCTTTTTTGTGACTGAATAATATTCCATCATATATGCAGGATAGGACAAAATTAAAATTGTGTGTATGAAAAAAATACAATCAATAACAAATAATAATACCAGAGTAAACTGTTTCACACACTCACGACTGTAAACCTCCGTTTGACCCCATGTGTGCGCATCACATCTTCTTTATCCATTTGTTTGCGATGGACAGTAGGTTGTGCCCGTGTCTTGGCTATGTACTGAATGCTTCAGTAAACATGGGGGAGCAGGTCCTTTTTGAGATCATGATTTCATTTCTTCCAGATAAATGCCCAGAAGTGAACTTGCTGGATCATGTGGTAGTTATATTTTGAATTTTGGGGGGAACCACCATACTGTTTTCCATAATGGCTCACCGATTTACATTCCCACCAATCGCGCACAAAAGTTCTCTTTCCTCCACATTTTTGCCAACACTTATTTCTTGTCTTTTCTATAATAGCATTCTAACATGAGATGATATAACGGTTTTGATTTGCATTTCTCCGATGATTAGAGATGTTGAGGTCCTTTTCATGTTCGTATTGGCCATTTATTTATATGTCTTCTTTGGGAAAACACATCTATTTGTATCTTCTGCCCATTTTTAAATTGGATTATTTGTTTTTTTCTATTGATTTATATGAATTCTTCGTATATTTTTTATGTTAATCCCTTCTCAGGTATGTGATTTGCAAATATTTCCTCTCAGTCAGTTGCCTTTTCATTTTGTTGATGGTCTCCTTTGCTAGGCAGAAGCTTTTTGGTCTGATGTGGCCCCACTTCTTGATTTTTGCTTTTGCTGTTTGTATTTTTGATGTTGAGAAGCTTACCCCCTATATTTTCTTCTACAAATTTTATGGTTTCAGGTCTTACAATCAAGTCTTTAATCCATTTTGAGTATATTTTTTGTGAGTGGTGTCAGACAGTGACCAGTTTTATTCTTTTGCATAGCTGTCTGGTTTCTCTAACACAACTTACTTTAGCATATGTGCTACTGGAGTGAGCACCCAACACTAATTATTAAAGAGACTATCCTTTTCCCATTGTATATTCTTGGTTCTTTTGTTGTAAATTAATTGACCATATGTGCACAGGTTTGTTTCTGGGTCCTCTATTCTCTTTCATTGATCTATGTGTCTGTTTTTATACCACACTGTTTTGATTGCTATAGCTTCCCAATTGCTATAGACTTTGAAATCAGGAATTGGGATGCCTCCCGCTTTGTTCTTCTTTCTCAAAATTGCTTTGGCTATTCAGGGTCTTTGTGGTTCCATATGAATTTCAAGTTTGTCTGTTCTATTTCTGTGAAAAATGACATTGGCGTTTTGGTAGGGATTGCACTGAATCTGTAGATTGCTTTAGGAAGTAGGGACTTTTTAACAATATCAATTCTTCCAATCCCTGAGCAAAACACATGTTTCCATATAGTCAGGTCTCCTTCAGTTTCTTTCATCAGTGTCTTACAGTTTTCAGTGTACAGGTTTTTCACCTCCTTGATTACATTTATTCCTAGGCATTTTATTCTTTCTGATACAATTGTCAATGTGATTATTTTCTTAATTTTTCTTTCTGATAGTTTATGAAAGATTCGCCTTTTCAAGGTGGACAGAAAAAGGTGATACCATAAAACCTTACATATATGTGGAATCTAAGCAACAACAACAAACCCAAAGTCATAAAAAAGGAGATCAGATGCGTGATTCCCGGAGGTGGGCTGGAGGAAGGGGAAATCAGAGAAAGGTGGTCAAAGGTACAAACTTCCAGTTACAAGATAAATAAGTACTGGGGATACTATAGTTACACAGCTGTACGATATATGTGAAAGCTGTTAATGCTAAGAGCTCTCGCCACAAGGAAAAAATTCCTTTTTTGCTTTCTCTTTTATTGTAACTGTGTAAGATGATGGATGCTAACTAAATATATTGCAGTGATATATGTAAGTCAAACCATTATGCTGTACACCTTAAACTTATACAATGATGTATGTCAATTGCATCTCAATAAAACTAGGGGAGCTAATAATACAGAATTTTAGCTATTGCTCATGTGACATCAATATTAGGAACATGCACTTCATAAAAAATCAACAACTCACATGCAATTTTAGACATCACAGACTGAGGGGGAGAAACCTGAGAGTTTTCTCTTTTTTTCATGTTGGCATAAAACACATCCAGTATTTGAGGCAGAAAGATAACAGCTTTAACTTTTTTCACAGACTGGACTGATCCTTTCTGGATAAAGTCTTCAATGGCATCAATTATGGCTTCAGCAACCTTATCTGGGTCTTGGTTAGCACTTCCTGGAAAGATAAATAAAAATGACTAGGAAAAAAAAAAAGACCCAACTGAAAAAGGCTGAGGAATAAATTAGGGATTCCAATTCTCACAAGAATGAATCCACACTCCCCCAATTTTTTTTATCTCCACAGATTTTTCTCACAATGCATCGGCAAACACTTTTGAAGTCCTAGATGCAATGGAGAGTTCTTGTCAAGAAGCCAACAGCTCAGCAATGAACAAAGGACTGAGAAATCTAACTTGTGGTGTCCAGTGTTGAATCTGCTCTACTCAGTGGATCCCAGCTCACTGTGTTCCTCTGTGTTGCAAAGCACACTTAATCTTTCTTGGCTCACTAGTGTCCTCAAAATATCCATGAAAAGTAGAAGATATCAATATATGTCAAAATATCATGCTCTTTAAAGACAACAATATTTTTTTTTGCTCAATCATCACTTTCTTTATGCATGTATCCTTATTCTCCCAGAAGTCTCTGGGGACTTGATTTACACTAAGATAATTTTGCAAGACACCTGGAGCTATAAGCTATCTACTTTTTTACATGCAGGTGGTCCATGAGCCTCCAGGAAGTCTTTCTTCTCACACCTGGTGAACTTTTAGCTGACTAGCAGGGTTCATGGTTGTCACCTGACCTGGTCTTTTCCTAATTAAGCATGTTCTATACCTTGTTTCTCCAACCTACTGTCTAGGTAAGATCATGAAAAGTTCCTTGAAAAGTCTCATGAAAACCATGGAAGACTCATATGAATGGTAGCTGTCACATGGGGTGAGGGGCGGGAGGGAGGGCTGTTAGCAATGTGAAAGCCCCTTGACCAAACTGGTATGATAGACTCGGGGCCCACTTGGATTATCCCCACTGATGGTGTCCACCATTATTGCAGGAATAAAAGTAGAGCTCTTTGACTTGACTGTGTAGATAAGAGTGGGAACATAGACAAACACCAAATAAAACTAACCAAGAAGATTTGTTCAGGTTTTCTTTGTTTGACTGTTTTTTTAATTAGAGAGCAGGGAAAGAGGGAAATTCTCTTTTGCAAAGCTGCGGTTATCTCATGATATCTGGAAGAATTTAAATTGGAGTGTTTAGATATATTCACTCACTTTCTATAAACATTTACTGTGTCTCATCAAAAGCTAGACACTCATCTAGGCACTTAGGACACAAAGGATATGTAAAGATGAACAGATGTTCAACAGGACTAGTATGAAAAATTGAAGGAAAGCCTAGAACTGTGTAACAAGGGTGTGATTTGTTCAACTTCAACCTTGTGTGTTGAGGAAAATAGATCTGTTTTTTAGAAAAATCAATCTGGGGTCTGGGAGGTGGTGGGGACAGGAGGCACTGGAGCAGAGAACCCAGGTCTAGATAGGAGGCTATAATGAAGGTTTAGGCAAAAGGCAAGAGCTGGAAAAAGAGAAGGGGCTGGAATGAAGATGAGGGTATAGGGGGCAAGGAGACATTTAGAAGTAGTCAGCAGGACCTGGTGACCAACTGTGTGTACCCTTGACCTTTCTCCCCTTTTGCCACCCACACGCCTTCCTGTGTTTATCACGGGCATGTTGTATTGCGTTGTTGTCTTACATGCCTGCCTCTCCTGATAGGCTAGGTGCTCCTTGTGGACTGCATCCTTTTCTTAGTCATCTTTCTGTCTCTCATGCCTTAGCACAGTGCCTGCCACATGACAGGCACTCAAAAATATTCCATCAAACTAATTAATAAGCAAATGAACATGGGAGTGATAAAGAAGGTAGAGTCAAGGATTACAGATCAAAAGTAAGGGCTGGAAAAAAGAGAAAGGAACACATGTAAAGAGAAAGAGGGATGGCCTTACTTTCTATTGGCTCCCTTCCCCTCTTTTCCTCTCCCTCCCCCACCATATCAGAGAGCAAATGTCTCCCTAATATCCCAACGCTCTCTTTTTTTTTTCATTTTTCCCCTCTTTTTCCACTTAAACCACTCACATTCCTTGCTCATTCCCTTTTTGGCTGCCTTGGGGTGAGGAAGCTGCCCTTCCTCAGACTCAGAATGACATCTGCATTATAATGCACCAAATTGGAAGGAAAGGGTATACCTAGGAATTTAGCCTCAAGAGGCTACAAACCTGTCCCAATGGCTGGGAGGCAAATGGACGAGTAATTCCGTTTTTCACACTCTTGCAAAATACAGGAAACCGATCTCTTGACATCATTTCCGCCAACAACATGAATAATATTCTTGCACTTCAGTAATCCACCTCCAGTAATTATATAACCATTGTTGCTCTGATGAGCTAAGAAACACAAAACAAAAAGATACAAAATCAGATTCTAAACCCATTCTCTAGTTGTTAAGAAAGCAAAATGTTTCATTTGGCAAATAAAACATTTTACATGAATAAGAGATTCCTGAAATATACCTTTGATGAATGTTTCTTGCTTACCTTCTCTTTTTTACGGTGATTTCATTTTTCACTTCTTTTCATTCTAATTCTCTATGACTGGAATTCTTTAGTAAAAAGTGTGATTTTAAGATTAATATGTTATCTCCCCAACCCTCAGCCTCTCTACAGCCTCCATTTTCAGCCTTCCACCTATGATTTAGGACCCAAAAGCGCATTGTGCCTTACCTAGGCGAGAACATTCTGTTTCCACATCTTGCCCAGCCTGTTCCAAAATTGCTTTGGACACCCCTACACGAGAACATCAACATGGTCACAAACATGAATTTAAAAAATCAGTACAGTATATTTGGATCAGAATGATTGCCTCATTGTCTAAATGTTTTCCCCGTCATCAAAGAAATCCTATAACCTGAGTATTTCTGATCACAAAAAAGAAAAATTCATAAATAACTGTTACCAATGATAAGAAACCATGTCAAAATAATTTTTAAATTATTAGTTAATACCAATAAACCAAAGTTTTACAACCAAAGTTGTAAAAGCCAGTTTGGCTATAGCAACTGTACAATATTTTGGCTATAGGAACCCTCCTTCATGGGATCTACAGTGACAATTAAACTAGTAAAAATCAAAAAGTAAAGTACCTGCTTTGAGAGTGAATGTCTTTGATGTTGAATTAACAATCACATCTGCCTCTTCTTTAGTAATATCTCCAGGGGCCACCTGGAAGGTGATGGGACCAATTTTCATTTCATGTACTCCTAAATCAGAGCTAGTTACAGTGCTATAGAAACCTGAAAAGAAAAAAAATGAAGTTAATAATCAAGTCAACAATAGCAAGAATGACTTAGGTCTTATATCGCTCACATGTGCCCCTCCCATATTTCTCTTTCTCTGCTCCAACCCCCATATCTCTGGCCTCTAACCTGAGCCTGACCATTGGCCCCAAAGACAGTCTGTCTCTAAAAAAGGGTTATAAAATGTAATGCGTATCAAATGTGGACCTCTGGTGATGGCCAAAGTGAAGTCAGCCTGCTAAAGCCTCTCTCTCCCAGTGATTACAGCTAAAGCATGGGACAAAGACTCGACACCCCCCCCCAACCGAGTTCTGAAAAGCAAAGAGCAGGAAGATTGGGGATCAGCGTCAAAAACCTAAAGAGGCAACCTGTACAGAGGGGAGTTTTGTTTTGAAATGTTTCCTCAATTTCTGCCCAAGATGGAGGCGTAGGTGGAAATGCTATACCTCCTCACACAACCAAATTTAAGGACAACAAAGATTTAGAAACAAGAACACAACCAAATCAGACAGAAAATTGAACTGTACTGAAGTCCAATAACAAGGAACCATTCATCCAGACTGGTAAGAGGAGCGCAGTTGGCCGCCAGCGGAGAGGAGTTGCGGCAGGGTAAGTGGCGGCTGCCAAACTGACCCAGGTGCGCAGGCGGCGGTTGGCAGATCCCAGGTGTGGGGTGGCAATGGGTGGACCCAGTGAGGGCGCAAGTCGGCTGGCTGATTATGGTCACACATTCACACTGAGATAAACCAGGTGAAAAAAAGGACAATGAGACAGACCGAGACACGCAGGGGCCCAGCGCCGGGAAATAAAGCCTAAAAGCACTGATTGAAAAAACTTTCGGGGGCTGAGGTGCCGAGAGAGGCTCCCAGCTTCACAAGACAGTTTGTTGGAGAGACCCACAGGGTCCTAGAATGTACACAAGCCCACACACCTGGGAACCAGCACCAGAAGGGCCCAATTTGCTTGTGGGAAGCAGCAGAGGGGACCTAAATCCAAGAAAGAACGAAACAAACGCCATTGCTCCCTCTCTGACCCCACACCCACATACGGTGTCACAACCCAGCAACTGGTTTGCCCTGCCCTGGTGAACACCTAAGGCTCCGCGCCTCATATGTAACAGGCACAAACAGACCAAAACATTATGGCTCAAACAGAAGAACAGCTCAAAGCCCCCAAGCCAATACTTCTAAGCGACCAAGAGATAGCCAATCTATCAGATGCACAGTTCAAAACACTGGCGATCAGGATGCTCACAGAACTGGTAGATTTTGGTCGCAAATTAGATGAAAAAATGAAGGCTACACTAAGTGAAATGAAGGAAAATGCACAGGGAACCAATAGTGATGGAAAGAAAACTGGGACTCAAATCAAGGGAGTGGACCAGAAGAAAGAAAAAAATGACCAAACAGAAAACAATGAAGAAACAAGAATTTTAAAAAATGAGGAGAGGCTTAGGAACCTCCAGGACATCTTTAAACGCTCCAACATCCGAATTATAGGGGTACCAGAGGGGGAAGAGCAAGAGCAACAAGTGGAAAACTTATTTGAACAAATAATAAAGGAGAACTTCCCCATTCTGACAAAGGAAATAGACTTCCAGGAAATCCAGGAAGCATAGAGTCCCAAAGAAATAGGACCCGAGAAGGAACAAACCAAGGCACATCATAATTACATTACCCAAGATTCAAATGAAGGAGAGAATCCTAGAAGCAGCAAGAGATAAAGGGACAGTCACCTACAAAGGGGTTCCCATCAGACTGTCAGCTGATTTCTCAAAAGAGACCTTACAGGCAAGAAGGGGCTGGAAAGAAGTATTCCAAGTCATGAAATCCAAAGACCTACAACCAAGATTGCTCAATCTAGCAAAGCTTTCATTTATTTATTTTTTAAAATATTTTCTTTATTTATTTTTCGAGAGAGGGGAAGGGAAGGAGAAAGAGTGGGAGAGAAACGTCAATGTGTGGTTGCCTCTTATGCGTCTCCTGCTGGGAACTGGCCTGCAACCCAGGCATGTGCCCTGAACCACGATACTCTGGTTCACAGGCCCGCGCTCAATCCACTGAGCTACACTAGCCAGGGCTTATTTATTTATTTAAAAAAAATTTTTATTGTCATTCAATTACAGTTGTCTCCATTTCCCCCCCATTACTCTCCAATCCTCTACCCACCCCCTACCTTCCATTTTCGATCCTCTCCCCGACCCCATTGTCTTTACCCATAGGTCCTTAATACCTGTTCCCTTTTTTATATTTTTTAAATTTATTTATTTATTTATTTTAATATATTTTATTGATTATGTCATTACAGTTCTATTTCCCCCCTTCATTCCCCTCCACCCTACCTACCCCTCCCCCACCATTCCCCCCTTTAGTTTATGACCATGTGTCTCAAGTTCTTTAGATTCTATATTTCCCATACTATTCTTGCTCTCCCCCCGTCTATTTTCTACCTACCATCTATGCTACTTATTCTCTGTACCTTCTTCCCCCTTCTCCTCCTCCCACTCCCCTGTTGCTAACCCTCCATGTAATCTTCATTTCTATGCTTCCGCTCCTGATCTAGCTGTCCTCTTTGTTTTTGTTTTAGGTGTGGTTCTTAGTAACTGTGATTTGCTGTCCTTTCACTGTTCATCTTTTTTATCTTCTTTTTCTTAGGTAAGTCCCTTAACATTTCATATAATAAAGGCTTGGTAATGATGAACTTGAACTTGATCTTCTCTGAGAAGCACTTTATCTGTCCTTCCATTCTAAATGAAAGGCAAATCTTTCACTTAGAATGTAAGGGCAGATAAAGTAAGGGCAGATAAAGTGCTTCTCAGATAAACTCAAGTTCAAGTTCATCATCACCAAGCCTTTATTATATGAAATGTTAAAGGGACTTACCTAAGAAAAAGAAGATAAAAAATATGAACAGTGAAAGGACAGCAAACACAGTTATTAACAACCACACCTAAAACAAAAGAAAACTAAGAGGACAGCTAGATCAGGATGAAACCATAGAAATGGAGATTACATGGAGGGTTAGCAACAGGGGAATGGGAGGAGGAGAAGGGGGGAGAAGGTACAGAGAACAAGTAGCACAGACGGTAGGTAGAAAATAGATAGGGGGAGGGCAAGAATAGTATGGGAAATGTAAAAGCTAAAGAACTTAAGACACATGGACATGAACTAAGGGGGGAATGTGGGATGGAGGGGGTGTGCAGGGTGGAGGGGAATGAAGGGGGGAAATGGGAAAACTGTAATAGCATAACCAATAAAATATATTTTAAAAAAGAAATGGTTCCTCATTTCTCTTCCACCTTTGACCCAAGGATGGTCCTAGTTGTGGAATTGCCCAATGAGCTCAGGGAGCAAAACTCTCAGAGGATCCCCGTCTTTGTGGCTGGAGGACTGAGAATAGGGAGTCCTGTGAGCTGAAGAGTGTGGCAGGCATCTTTTTCATTTTCCATATTAATTCCTTGGTAATACAGACCCTACCCCCAAGGCGACCCCAACTGCGGAACACATAGTGGCACCATTGGGAGCTGAAACTCCGAGAGGCATTTTGTGTTTCTACCCAGAAGAATCAGAAAAAAGAGGTCCTTGTGGCCTGAAAAGCATATATGGGTGTGTGGAAAATCTCTGTTATTTTTTTGCTCTTTTCTCTCTCCACTTTACCCAAGGGCAACCCTGACCATACAAAGTTTATGAGGCAACAGAACAGGTATCTTAAACTCCACGAGAGCACTGTCTCTCTGGCGAGAGGCTGGAGAATGGGCCCCTGCAAGCCAGAGAGTGTGAGGGGAGCCCTGAGGAAGGTGATCCTCTCTTCCGTGATGAACTGGAATAAATCCTGAGCCCACCCCAGAGCTGCACGTGTGGGAACAGTCCCAAGCAGCAAGGCAAGGGCTTTGAGAACTCAAGTGACGTTGCAGCTGCTGCCCACCCACAAAGTGAGACACAACTGTGGGAATGAACTTAACCGACGGCCTGCCTGCTAAAACAACAGCCACCATTTTCCAGAGGATTTTAACGAGACCCAAGTTTCACAACGTAATATTTAAAATAATTAGTCTATGATCCAAAACTGCCTGTCATATAAAGAACCAAGAAAATGTGATTAGTTCTTAAGGATAAAGATACTCAGTACAAGTGCTAATCTCAAAATGATCCGGATGTTGGAATTATCAAAGACTTTAAAGTGTCTGCTATAAATATGCTCCCTGAGGTCAAAGGTAACATATTTGAATGAATGGAAATGATTTTGAATTAACGGGAAAACAGGAGTATCTGCAGAGAAATATAAAGTAAGAATCAAATGGACATTTTAGAACTTAAACATATAATATCTGAAATAAAAAAAATTCACTGGATAGGCTCAATAGTGTAGTAGAGAAATGAATCAGTGAACTTGGAGGTAGGTTAATAAAAATTAGCCAATCTGAAGAACAGAGAGTAAAAAAGATTAAAAGAGGAAAAAGAACACATCATCAGGGAGGGGTATTCATGTTACTGGAGCCCAGGAGAGGAGAGAGAGACCAGTCCAGAAAAAATATTTGAAGAAATGACTGAAAGAGTCCCACATTTAATGGAAAGCATACAGATTGAGACTCAAGAAGCCTCGGCAAACTCAAAATAGGACAAAGTTAAACATGTAACAGCAAAGTTGACAGAGAAGCATTTGGTTGGCATTGTCTCTTCCATTTCCAAAAACACGTGTCACATCATCCCTAGAAAACGGTAGCCTCATCCCTACTTAACAACCCATTGTACAGATTATCTAACTTGGCCTGCTGGCTCTTCCGCTCCAGATCACACAAACACAGCCATGTCTTGCCTGCTCAGGTGTATGGAATGTAATTTAATATCATTATCACAAATTGATTTTCCCATTAAAATCATCACTATCTTTCAATTATTATTAGTTATCTAACAACTAGAAATAATTTCTCAATTTAAAATCTTTATCGAACCCCCAAGGAAACAACAAACAAATAAGAACAACAAAAAAAAGAATAAAATAAAAATGAAAAGAATCTTTACTTGAATCTTGTGTATTCTTAGCCTTGGGAATTGTGTCACTGACGAAATTTTTATTAGCCCTTCTGTCAAATTCATCTGAAAATGCCTGGAATTACAAAGACAGTTTTGACTACTGCAGTCCTATATAAATGAATGAATCTGATTCATCACAGTTTTGATCCTGCATCCACAAATATTTACAAGAGAGCAATCCTCAAAATATTGTTTATCATTATTGATTTTTAAAGCTATAAAAATACATATATTATTTCTACATGAAATAATATAGTATCTCATCAAAATTATCAAAGATAAAAACAAAGATATAAATATTAAAATGTTCATTACAATGCTTTTATAATCAAGAAAAAAATGAAACAGTTTAAAATCCAGTAGGGAAATGTTTAAATAAATTTTGGTATATCCATGTATTAAAATATTTAGTACACTAAGAAGTGCATTTTCAAAGAATAGTTAATGGAATGGGGAAATACTCACTTTATACTAGTAAACAAAAGAGTAACTTCCATTATATGACACCATTTTACAAAATGCACATGTATAGAAGACTACAATGAAATATGACTAAATGAATTTATGCATTTCATATCGTCCAAAGCTTCTACAATGAACATGTATTATTTTCATAATCAGTGAGCGCAAATAACTTGCCAGTTATTAATATACAGCTTTAAGGGAAAGACAATCACAAGGACCCAGGCACTTCGATTTTAACTTCTTACTAGTGCCAGGAGAGGAACAACTAGGGGAGGAGTGCACTTTGCAGCAAGAGGCTGTATTTCAGAGTTAAAGGTCCAGTGAATTCCATTTCTTTGCCTGACAGTAACACACCAAAATAATCACTTTCTTCCTCTTTGTAAACGAGCAATGGAGAATTTTGTTGGTTAAAGAAACGTAACACCTTGGCTAAAAGGTTGATACAATGGAGGGAGAGGGACTGGGAGAGACTATGGAGCCAGGGAGTCAGACTCACAGACTTCCAGGGGCCAGGAGAGGAATGGGCAAGTGCAAAGGCGAACTGGAGGACCGCCCCGCCTGCCACAAAGCCACTGAGAAGTCCATGTCCAGTGTGCCAGAACATTTACATCCAGGTCACAGTGAACATCTGCAGTTTTATGTGAAATGTTTTGAGTTTTAAATATTAGCAAAGGATTCAAATTCTTTTTAGACCAGTCCAAATAAAGCACATTTCAAGGCCATGTTCAGACCATGGGCTTCTGTTGTGCAGCCTCTGTTACAGTGTGCACCAGTACACATCTCAGTCAGTTATGTGTGTGTGTGTGCAATTATAACCACAGTTATAATTTAACTGTCTTTAAAAGTCTTAAGAGAAAAAGTGTCATTTCCAATGACGGTCAAGGTGTCTATATAGACTAGTCCCTCTACAGAATACTTGCAGAGGAACCTGAGTCTTTGGGAAAGAAAATAGGGTCTTGGGTTACACAGAAATAGTGAAATTTGAAGCTTCAGGTCTATGTCACAGGACTCACTCCCCTGTTACCCATTCAAAACCACTCATGACTTTGTCTCTGACTTAGTTCATTTTATGTATAAACCTGAGCTGCCAAAGTAATTACATTTACAAGAGGAGAAGCATGAGTGTTACATACCCATTCCATGTTCCACATCACCTTGTATAAGGCAAGTCGGAGGAAAGTGCTTCAAAAAGCACTTATTGACTAGAAATTACTGTAGTTGTGTAGAGCAACTAAATGGATCACATATTTTCCTTAGGTGGTTTGGCTGTCTGATTAGAATTTAAGATTTCTTTGCTCCCAAATAACTTAAAGGTAGTATTTAGATCTAGAAAAAAATTAAGTATGACCTAAAAATTCAGATAGTCCAAAGATCCATGGACATCTCCTGGGTTGCTGGCCTTAATCTACTTGTTTAATTCCTGCACTGCCATGGAACTTTTCAAACATTTAATGTCATTTACTTTACTGGACTCTAAGGACCTGGAGGGAAGGGGCAATGGCCTCATCAAATACCTCTTGTTCTCGCATAATAGAGTCTGACGGCTCACCCATGGCTGATGTTCAGCAGATGGGAGCTGGTCAATGGACTCAATGACTGAAGACAGTTCTAGCACTTCTGGTCCCACTTCTGTTCCCATGGGGATGTGCTGAGTTCATTCTAACTACACCCTTCAGGTGTATTTCATCCTGACAATCTCCTATTGTAAGACCACAACTGTGCTTTTATATTATGCATAAAAATTCCTGTGTTTATATGGAAGGGAATCCTACCAATTAAAAAAGACTTAAGAATATGTCAACTCCACTGCAATATGTAAGCCTCATTTAGATTCTGATTCAAACAAACAAGCTGTAAAAATAAAACATTTATGAGATAGTTGGCGTTTTGAACACTGACTGGATAATCAATGAAATAAAAGCATGACTGTCAATTTCTTTTCTGTGTGAAACAGTATTGTGGTCATGCTACTTTTTAAAGTAAACACTGAATTGTTTATGGGTACAGTGTACATCTGGGATTTGCTTCAAAATGTTAGGGAGAAAAGTAGAATAAATGAAGATAGAGACAAAACATATTAGCCATAAGGTGATAACTGTGAAGATGAGTGATGGGAAGAGGGGGGTTTTATTATACTATATAATATTATGTCTACTGTTGTGTATGTTTGAAATTTTCCTTAATAAGAAGTTAAAATTTTTCTTATATCCATAAATTTGCTTGAAATTTGCCACGGTAAAACCAGTCTACAGTGCTCTTTTTACTTTCCTATTTGAGAAACAACATGAAAGAAACAAGCTAATATACCAAGAAGACACTGGATACCATTAGGGCTCAAAATGCCAAAATATTCAGAAATGAGTGAGGCCGTACCTGAATATTCTCATGATCATTCGGGTGCAGCAGAAAGCAGACTTTTTGTAAAGCTGTTGGTTGGTTGTTGCTACTAAATTTGAACACTTCTGAAATGATTAATTCAGCAAAAACGGTTTTGGGAAACCCCAAATTGCCTGTTCCTATGGCTGGGAATGCAATTGATTTTAAGGACAAGTTCTCAGTGGTTTCCAAACATTTTCTGATTATGTCTTCCATTATCTGAAAAATACAAAGCATATCCTTAAATATTTTGCCCGGAAATGGGAGCTATGACCCCCCCCCCAAAAAAAAGAATTTAGCAACCTTGTGAACTCTGTCCACTTCTTTTTGCTTTCGACAAAGGCAGGCTAAGGGCAGTCAGAAGCGAGAAAAAGAATCCAGGAAAAGGAAAAGAGAACGTGAGAAACCCTCCCAAAAGAGTCCAACTCACACAGAGCGAAAGAAGCAAAGCCTCCATCGTTCTAAACCCGTGTGCTCTTCCATTCCTCATGGCCTCACCTTGCCTTCCTCACTAAAGATGTGTTATGTTCAGGCCCTGGCTGGTGTAGCTCAGTGGATTGAGCTCGGGCCTGCGAACCAGAGTATCGTGGTTCAATTCCCAGTCAGGGCACATGCCTGGGTTGCAGGCCAGTTCCCAGCAGGGGATGCGCAAAGGGCAACCATACATTGATGTTTCTCTCCCTTTCTCCTTCCCTTCCCCTCTAAAGATAAATAAATAAATTTTAAAAAAGATGTGTTATGTTCAATAACCCTCCCCTAGCCCCAATAATGATTGAGTACTATAATCAATTTTTATTATTAACTAGCCTTCATGAGAAATCAACTACAGCTCCAAAAAAGGGCCATAATCATGGAATCTGCCAAGAACATGAAGTTATTACAGAAGAGAAATAGACAGGGTCCAATCTACATTATACTGGAAGGAGTCCAAAGGGGTACACAATTCCTGCAGAATTTAAAACCAGGCCCCACCTTGCGTGAAGATGTGTTGTCATTTTGCCAGTCTGGAGCCACCACATGAAGCACTTGGTGGCAATGCAGATTGCAACCGCTGGTTTGGAGAATCGTGCCCACGTCAACAGGCAGCTTCTGTTCAGCTGCGTACAATTCCTTCTGGAGATCTGGCCCAGCTTTCTTCAAGAGGGCCAGAGAAAGGGGTCCTCTGTTAAGCTCAAGATTGCCAGGAATGGAGTTGACGACAACATCGGTCTTAAACACAAAATCAACAATTTGTTTCAAATTCCAACAAAAAGCATTGATCAAAAGATTACTATATTTGAGCCACTGGGCTTAGCATAATGGGAGACAACTAATATGAAGTTGTCAGAGATTAAGTTTTCAGAGACTGAAATGCCACACAAGACAAAGTATTATTAGACACTTACTTAAATTACACTTCAGGAGAAAAGAGAGCAGTCAAAAAGCAATATATCATGGTATGGGATCAATGAAGGAGCCCAGAGGAAGTGCCCTCAGTGGGCAGTGAAGACACCATGAGTGATGCGGGGTCCTAGAACTGGGAATAGTTGCAGCAGGCAGAGAGAGACAGGGAAGTCATTCAGAAGAGGGAACACATTCATGGTAGGTTGTGAGCTGTGAGCAAATTAGTGTGACCTGATAGAGAGCTTCTAGAGCAAAATGATGCAAGCAAGGCTAGAAATGATACACTGGGGATAGTCTGCAGAGGACCTGAAGTGCTAGGCCAAGTGGACTTCCCGACAGTGAAGAGCCAGGCAAGCTTTTCAGCAGGACAGTTAATGTGAGCAGGCTAATGAGGTAGATTAAGGTACCAAGAGAAGAGGGAAGAAGGAATGTGACGAAGTCATTTTCAAAGCTGCCCTGCACACGTCAACAAGGAGCAACACGCAGCAGGTACTGTGGCATCAAAAGCCAAACATCTACAGGAGTAAAAGAAATGGAAGGAATGTCTTACTATTTATTTGATGTTCAAGATGGACAAGGAACTGAACTCATTCCAATTACTGACTCTTGGTCAAAAGAGTTTCTTATTTGTTTGGTTTCTCAAATGAGAAACAAAATTATTTTTAATATTTTTGAAAAAGTGCAATGGTTAAGAGCCTGCACAAACTCCAACCCTGGCTCCACCATTTGTTAGCTGTGGGACTTTGGCAAATTACTTAACCCCTCTAAGTCTCATTCCTTCATCTGTTTGAGAAGAGTAATTATCCTGGAATCCACCTCATGGCCCCGAATGAGAAAATACAAGCCAAGCACGTAGCATAGTGCCTGACACATATTAAATAATCAATGTCCTTAGCTATTATTTTTGTATCCTCACTTGGGGACATTTTTTCATTGCTTTTAGAGAAAGGACGAAGAAAAGAGAGAACCAGAGAGAAAAGGAGGGGGGGGGGGGGGGGGGGGGGAGGAAGGAGGGGAGGGGAGGGGAGGGGAGGGGAGGGGAGGGGAGGGGAGGGGAGGGGAGGGGAGAATCATCGATGTGAGAGAGAAACATTGATTGGTTGCTTCCCATGCACCTCCTGACTGGGGATGAAATCTGCAGCCTAGGTATGTACCCTGACCTGGAAATTGAACCCAAAACTTCTCGATGTACGAGACTGAGCCTCACCAGCCAGGGCAGCTATTATTCTTGTAATTATTATTTAAGCTTAAGGAGAATGACCCACAAATGGGAAAAATATTAGCAAATCATATATCAGGTAAGGGACCTGTATCCAAAATATATAAAGAACTCTTAAAATTCAGTAATGAAAAGATAACCTAATTTAAAAGTGGGCAAAGGGTCTGAATAGATATTTCTCTGAAGAAGACAGGTCCATGGCCTTCCCTGGGAACCCCTCCCCGGGCCTGCCGGGAACCCTCCAGAGCTGCCGCTCCTACTCAGCAGAGCCTGTGTCGAAAAGGCTGTTAAATACACTTTTTAAAAACACATCACCCACTGGCAGACCTACGAGAACTGTCCCCATGTAATACCCAGGCCCTTCCCAGGTCCAGCCTCTGCTTTCCTTCCCACGTTCTCTTACTGGTGTTGGAGCCCTGCAGACTCAGGGCTCCCTGCTCAACCTGGTTCAGCTCCATCGACAAGATTCCTTTCTTCTGTCCCCACTCTGCACTCTAATTTTTCTGTATCTGATATCAGTAAATTTGTTAGGAAATCAACCTTAGATTTACCAAAATGTGACAGGTGTGAAGGCACTGAAAAACTACAGAGCCTTGTAACTGTAAATTATTATCGTGGATTTTCACATTTACTAAAAGCCTAGGGATCTGAATACATTGCCAGTTCCCATATATAACTGGCCAATCTCCGTCAGTAAATGCTGAGATGAAGTAGCCCGATTTTCTAAGGAAACCTTTTTCCAAGACAGGATGGAGGACACGGGATTCTCTCCTTTAATTCCCCCCTTGATCCCAATCTTCCTTTGGCAACAGACTCCCTGGAGTTGCAGCACCTCTGGGTGGGCACGCTATAAAGACAGACACTCACCGTAGCATTCTGCACTTCGTCTTTCACCAACAGGACCCTCAGGCCACCAGGGCACAACAGCACTTTGCTGTTTTCACCATCTTTCCTCAAGCTGGGCCGGATTGCAGCTGGTACACTGGGCTGGGAAGAAGTATCAGGAGCGGTGTTTTTAAATACAGTTTTCACAGTTTCAGCAAAGGCCTCAACGGTCTTCTCAGATGTATCCACAAGGTAAATCTCCTTCAAGGTGCATCCATCCCAGTTATACTGGAAGGTTTCCTTCACTGCCAAAACGATGGCTTCCACACACTGAGGTATGGGAAAGCCAAAGACTCCAGAACTAATAGCAGGGATGGCTATCGAGCGGTACTGGAGTTTTTCAGCCAACTGGAGGCTTTGTCTCACGGCTTTCTTTAACTGGAGCACACAGCCCTGGGCGTCCTCCCTCTTCCACCTGGGTCCTATTGCATGGATGACCTGGCGATAAGGGAGCTTTCCTGCTCTCGAAACAACGGCATGGCCAACTGGGATTGTGCCTTTTTCCTTCACTATCTGGTCACAGTCTGCTTGGAGCTCAGGGCCAGCTTCTTTGGAAAGGGCAGCGGCAAGGCCCCCGATGTGCTTGAGGTTCTCATTTGCCGCATTCACCACCACTTCAACGGGAAACCGGGTCAGGTCACCTTGCTGCACGACCAGAGAGACTCCGGGGACCAACACTGTCTGAAAGAAGCACTTCTGCCCAACAGCACCACCTCCCTCCTTTTCTTCATTCTGCAGCAGTTCCACAAAGCAGCCATGTGACCATACCTCACGTTTATAATACCGTGCCTTCTCCAGGAATAACTGCTTGGCTCCCGGCTTATCAATACAGACCCTTTTAACACAGACTGAATCCCTGGCTTGATTGAGGATGTTCATTCCCTCCATGACTTCAGCCTTCGAGCCGGTTAGTAAAATGCCCTTTGGTTTGTTCCCAGGATTGAAATTCACCTGAACATTTAACTTCCTTAGCTTCATCTTTTGTAAGAATAGCTTCTTCTCTGCCTTTAAATAATCAATAACTAAGGGAGGCTTTACTTCAATCAGTCTCTCTATTTTCATGTTTTTTCCCACAAAGTCCAAAAGGAGGACATAGGTCTCATGTACTTCTTTCACACAGCCTGCAAGAATGACCTCGGGTGGGGTTTTTGAAGTTAACTCACTGAGTATTACAGTCTTTGAAGAGGAATTATGTTTCTTAAGCAAATTGCCAGTGATCGTTTTCCATTTCTTGCTATTAAGAACTTCCCTGTCCTCAATGTCTATGCACTTATAACTTAAGGCACTGACCATATGCTTTTCAGCTTCTAATAGGGCTTCGGCAGAATAGCTGATTAAGAGAACAGTTGTACCCTCTAGCTCACAAACTGCAAGAATTTTCTGTGCTATAAAAAAAGACTTGGAGAATTCTGCACAGTCGACCTGTTGCAAAAACTGGAAAACTTCAGGCGGAAGCTGAATGCATTTCTGAGCCATGGTGTACACCTTTTCCTGGACTTCACACTTTACTTTATACACATCTACACCGAGGCCTTTAAAGCACATGTGTTGAGTGGCTTCATCGTAAAAAATCTCCATCTCCGGGTACTCCGTGCGGAGGCGCTCCTGATCGCTGCTATAGAGCAAAAGAGAATACTTTCCTGGAGAGATGGCCACTTTTTCCTTCACACTTTGCTCTTCTCTTTTAATTCTTTGACTGGTGTTTTCTATTAATTCCTTGATTTGTGGCTCTCTGTTTTGCACATCTTCTGATTTCCCTGCCAAAGTTACAATCCCCATAAGCGTATCAAACTCTATCAAAATGCTTTCATCTTCTAAATCGTTTTTTATGGTGTCCCACACTACTGGGTCGGCTTTAAATTTGGTGACTTTATACCTAGACCTGATGCCAGAGAATGCTGAGGAAGCATCTTTCTTCCAGTTCTTGATGGTTTGTCTTCCTTGGTTGACTAAGGTGGCCGCGGGTCTGATGGTAACTTCACCACTGAGCTGGGACCATGTTAGCTCACAGTGAAAACGGCCCACTTCTTCATTTATCGCCTCAACCAGGTGATTCTTTTTGTATAAGAACTTCCATAAAGAAAGATCCAAAGATTCTCTAAATGGTGCTGGAAGCTTGATCAGGGGCTTCTCCTTGCCGTACAAAGCTGTACCCAGAGACTCATAGTATGGGAACACAGACAGTGGCATGTTATTGAGATCAAGTTTCCTGGTCAGGATAGTGTCTAACACTAAAAAGGAAAGAAATAAAATGAAGTAATCCCAGAGTAATATGTTTCAAATGAAGACAAACAAACAAATGAACAAAACCTTTCCTATTCCAGGGAGGGGAAAATCCTAATGCCTGTAGAACTCTGATCCGGCATGGTATTAAAAAGCAGCTCTACTCTCAGAGGGCTCAAATGTCAGTGAATGTGTATTAACACTACATAGGTATCCCTTGCTTAACTGAATAATTACTTTCCAGCCAAGATCACTCCATGTTGAAATTCTGTTACATGAATTCTGCGTTCTGCTTTTCTGACAACACTATCACCACCTGGTTAAGAAACAGATATGACTTTGGTCACAAGCATGGGGATAGTGTTTGCCTTAGTGTAAAGAATATTTTGATGCTCCAAGCCCAGCTCGTCTAAGAATCATGCTATTTACCGTTTCTTGAGTTCTCCCAATTTCAGGCTTCACAGATGACTTCTCAGGGGAGGAGCATAATAATAATGATCATAGCTTACCACATGTCAGACACTAGTCTAAGCACTTTATACATGTTTACTTAATTTAATCTTCACAACCCTTTGAGATAGGGACACTATTATCATCATTATCACTATTTACCAATGATAAAACTCAGATTAGTAAAGATTAAATAACTTGAATAGGGTCATGTGCTGTAAATATCGGAGCTAAGATTCAAGCCAGAATCTGCCTGACCCCAAAGCCCATGCTCTTGCCCTTCTCCTGGGGGTCCAAACCAAGGTCATCCTCAAAGTTATCAAATTGCTCGGCCCAGAAACTGACTCACCTCCCCTGACCCAGCTACAACCCACTTTACTGGAATAGTACTTAGTTACACAAGCTGTGTAACCTTTGTCAAGTTATTTGATCTTTCCGTCCCTAAGTTTCTTCATTTGTTTTTGTCTCTTCCTTCCACCCCAAAATCACCACACTGTGTCCATGTCCATGAGTCCTTTTTCCTTTTTGATCAATCCGTCCATCCCCTGACTTCCCCACCCCCTCAGCTGTCATCCTGCTCTCTATCTATAAAATAGGGATTACAGTAATAGCAATGCCTAGACAGCAATGTCTATAAATGTGCTTTGTAGCACCCTGCAGAGCTACGCAAATGTCCAGAGAGAGAAAGGGAAAGTCAGTGTATCTCAGACCCTGGAGTACAGGGAATGAGTGAGGTTCGAGGAGGAGGTCTGGCCAACACAGCAGATGATGCAAAAAAGTCAGATGAAATGGAACCTTTGAGAGACTTTTACTATGCAGAGGTGTAGCTCTGGTATGAAATAAATCTTAATCAATAGTTCATATTTTTAGTGGTACACAAGTAACTAGACATCCTGGGGACATACACAACTGCCCCATGCTCTCCAGATGTTTGAAAGCCCCAAAGTTGTCCACTTCCCACCATTAGCTGGAAGCTAACTTCCAGGGTAGACAGATTTATGTAATTCTCTACCTGAGGCCAACCAAGCACAGGCTGAGGAAGATTTAAAGAACACGCAACAGAAAGTCCTCTTTTGTTCCTTTGCCCAAGGAACACTAGGCCCCTAAGCCCATTTTAATGTAAACCATACCCTCACCCCATTTTCTCCAATTTAAAAAAGCTGAAGAAGGGTTCCTCCAAGTACCCCACGAAACAACATTTCTCAAGTTGGTGGCACATCACGTGATCCTGTCTCATGCTCTCCCGGTTAACACCAAATACAAGGTTCCTTCTTTCCCTAACAAGTCTGGTCCCCTAATTCCTACTCCTCAGCCTTGACCTCTAAACATCAACAGACTCTCCAAGCTGACTTTGCACATGCCTCAGAGAGCTGGCAATCTATGTCTACAAAACACCCAGAAGTGTTTCTCTAAGGTTCAACTGGACACGGTCTTCACAGCGTCACAGCACAGAGCAATCCAGCAGGCATCCGCCGATCGTGTGAAATCGGCCCTATTAATTTCTGAATGACGACAATGACAAGGTGAAGGGGGAAGTAGTGCCACTGTCTAGGAACTGTATGTGTTTCGGACTATTTCTTTACCTAACCTTGTCAAAATTAACTTAAGAATTTCTACCAAGTGTACAGCCAAAACACATTTCTTCTTTAATACAGTATTTCCAGGATGTTAAGAATTATATATATATTTTTTTCACATTTTTTAAGAATTATATATTTTTCAGTTTATCACTGGTAGAAACTCATGAGAGAATCTCTTTATATCCTTCGAAAATCTGAGATTACTTCTCTAAAGTTTGAATCACTGGACACATTAAGCATCATATGCCAGATGAACAAGATTCCTAATTGGAGTACCAATTAAATATATGAATAAGAAATATTAATAAAATACATCAGAATTCAACTAATAACTGTTAAGATATGCTAATACAGTTTAAATTACGCTTGGTGAGGTTTACAAAATCAGGCTAATAGAAATTACCTTTTCTGTCAAGAAATTCAATCAGTGCTGAACTCTCTTCAGGAAAATATTCAACACTGACAACTCTTCCCCCTCCATTTTGAGGATCTTCAAATAAACATTTCAAATTATAGCTGTCAACACCAGGCGGCAGGTTTTCGACCCTGATCTTTCTTGTCACTTCCAGAAGTCTTGGAGAAAGTTGAAGATGTTTCACGGAACGGTTCATGGCACAATTGTGAACAAATGTCACAGGATCTTCAAACCAAAATCAATCAATCAGAAAATTATGATTACATCTTTATATCACATAGAAAAAAACTGTCCGAATATTATTTGAGATAAAGGGAAGAGCTAAGTACTCAATTTTTAGATGCAAGATTTTAACTCCTAAATAAGAATCACATGCCTAAAATTCCCATTCTCTGAACGACATTCATCTTACCAGAATTACTGCCACTGGGCTGTGTCCCCACCTCCGTTCACAGCCCTCTCCACCCTCCCTGACATGGCCACCTGAGCACTCTCTCTACCATACAAATCCCATTTCACTCCTTTCTCAAGTCCTTCAATGGCTCCCCATCCCCTGAAGGCATGAGTCCACACACTCTGTAGCTAGGCTTACGGCCCTTTGCTATTTGACTCCAAACTAATTTCCAAATTTCACCTTTGGTTATTCCCTGCCATTCATTTTATTTTCCATATTACCACAGAAACTAGTCATTATTTTGAAAAGCCATGCTCTTTTGCCTTCGTATATATAATTTCCCATGCCTAAAATGCTCTCCAATTTTTTATCTTGGTCCTATTCCTCCACTGAGACTGAGCTCAGTTATCTCTTTCAGATAAATCAATATCGATGATGGGCCCATGATGATGAGACATTTCAGGCAGAGGGCACAGCAGTGGCATGAAGCAACACAGTATATTTGGGACCCAACAGACTGGTACAGCTGGAGCCTAAACTTCACAGAATGGAGTAGGCAGGGCAAAGCCAAGCCCCCTTGTTTGGGTGCCCTTTCCTCCCATTCCCCACAGCCTGCTGTTCACAGCCCAGGGAGGCAGCTTCTCCTCTTGCATCTTCATTACTCGTTATACATGGGTTTCCTCCCTGCCCCTTATGAGTTCCTCAAGAGCAGGGACTAAGAATTATTGACCTCTATACCCACAGCACCTAGACAAGCACACATAGTAGGCATTCAAAATTTTGATCTGTGAATAAAAGCAAGCCCATTTAGTTTCACCTTTATAAGAAATAAATCATAAATTTGAAATAAGAATAGCTCCCTGTATTGATTCTTTACTATGTCTCAGGTGCTTATTTCATTTACTCTTCACAGAAACTATATTGGGTAGAAATTATTACCCTCATATTATGGGTGAGGAAAGTAAAGCACACATAGGATAGTAACTCAGCCAACCTCGGGTAATTAGTTCAATGGGGAGGCCAGAATTCTGACTTTATGATCTGTGCTCTTAATTAACCAATCCACCACCATGGCTGCGAAATAGTGAGGCTTGGAATTGGAAAATTTCCTTGTTTTTCTGGAGATGGCTCTTCCAAACCACAGATTCCTCCCCCAGACCTCAAAGCCCACTCATTTTCTGCAACACACGCACTTACTCTCACTGCATATGTGGGCGACAGTGAAAGTACGAAGAAGACACATGGTAAAGGGGGTAACACCACAGGCTGAAGAGAGGTAATGCTGCCTGGGTCTGAATCCAGTTTATCCATTTATTAGCATCTCTGCACCTCTGTCTCCTCAAGTGTGAAATGAGGAATGATGATAATAATCTCAAAAGGTTGTTGAAAGGAACAGACTGATTAATACATGTAAAGGCTTTAGCGTAGGACCTGCCTTCTAGTGACGCCATGTACATGTTTGCTATTATTATTGTTAGTACCTTCAAGTCCAGTTTGGTAACACAGATCAATATTTACTTCTCACAGTGAGGTACACATGTGAAAGTGAAGACTCATGCATGGAATCACTTTACTAACCTTGGACTTCAGATTTCATTTTGGGTGCACTGGTTCTGCCTCCGTCTCTCTCTGTCTCCATCTCTGCCTCTGTCTCTGTCTGTCTGTCTGTCTGTCTCTCTCTCACACACACACAACTCATACAATAAAGTTTAATTTATTAAACACACCAGAATTTGGATTCAAAGCAAAACTGTTTCTCTTTCAAACAAAAAAGGATCTATATTAACCTAGAGTCCTCTTACTAGCTACTAAAAAGCATCCAACTTCCAGAGACATTCCATGAGCTAAGTGTCCCCAACCCCAAAAGTGTGGTGCAGAGAAGACTGAAAATGAGTGTCACTTAATCTTACCTATAGATTTTTGGAAGGTAACCACGGCAACATTAAAATCTCTGATGACTTCCACTTGAAAATCATCACTGGACAGGCCACTTATGTTCTCCACCAACAAGATCAACATGACATCAGTCACATGTTCTTTGAGATTTTCAAATGCAACCAAAAAAGGAATATTTTCACATTCTTTTGGGATAGCTTCCATTTTTGTATCTTCTGACATATCTGATTTTAGAAATACAAAAGAGGTCAAGATGTTGTGTTTATCTACCATGGTCTTAGCAAAGTAAATTATCATAAGACAATATAATCTTTCCTTCCCAACCTCTTAGGTAACTCAAATAAAAAGAGATTTAGGGGCTTTTTGCTTAAATGAATTATGACAATGATGATGATGTTCAAATTTATTATACCTATTTCTGTCGATATATACACAGTACACTTATTATAAATTATTGAATTCAGTTTCTCAAAAGCAAGGAACACTCCTGGTCAGGTGGCTTAGTTGGTTGGAGCATATCCCATACACCAAAAGGATGCAGGTTCAATTCCCAGTCAGGGCACGTACAGGAGAGAACAGATCTATGTTTCTCTCACCCCTCTCTCTCTCTCTCTAAAAATATCTTTGGGTGAGGATTTAAAAAAAGCAAGGACGATGTTTATGCATCCTTATGTTGCTAGCATATGGTATATATATTTGAGGCTCAATAAGTGTTTGCTGATTTGGATATTTAGTTCTTGGACCACTGGAAAAAAGCAAGAATATCTGATGATGCTAAATGTGAGCATCATCTAACACTTTATGCTCTGAAAAGCAGTAACTTTCCATCTCTGAAGAGAAAAAGGGATACTTGCACTGAATGACTAAGGAATACACAGAGGAAGTAAAATGGCCCATATATATATATATATATATATCAAACTTACTGAATAGCAATCACCCCAGCCAGCTTGTTCCTCCCCATTGTTGACCATAAGTGAGTTACACAATGTGTAAAGTCAGTCTCACTCTGTGCTTGCCTAGTGCAGTGAAGCATAATGGGTACCATATGATCTTTAGGCCTTCTTTGAGCAACTATTCAACTGGAGCCCTTATTATGTTAAAAGCACAGGGTATGTGAAGGTAGGTGCATATAAAAAATATTGGATATGGACTTACAGATTTTCTAATGGAGGCATTAAAAAAAAAACCCTAACACTGAAAAATGTTTATTGTGGAAGAGTAAAATGCCATGCACTCATCAAATCCATTTTGTTTCCTTTCTGGGAAACACTGCCCAGACTTCCTGCAGCTAAATTCCCATGGTAGAGTTCACATGGCTAATGGAGTACAGGTGGAAGTGGTGAATTCCACTTCCAAGGATGGACAACACGAGTCTCTTTCATATGGATCTCCCTTCTCCCTTGCAGTGACCTTAGAGGCCACGTATCAAGGATAATGGTATTGAAATACAGAAAGGAACCTGGATTCCCACATGACTGTGTGAAGCAATCTAGACTCCACCCACCACACTAGCTGCCAACTACGGTGATCTGGGTGGTTGTTTGTTACAGCAGTTAGATCACGCCGACAAGCATTCCTGCTGTGTGCTGAATGAGGCACCACACACACACACACACATACACACACACTCATTCATGCCAAATAAAATAGCATAAGGATTCAATAACAACATAAACTAGCATTCAATGAGGCAGGTATGACAAACCAGAATGAGTAGTGGTCTGGGAATGAGGGCAGAGAGTTCAACCGGACCCTGCCCCTTTTAGCCATCTGACTTGGGGCACATCTCTTAATTATACAATGAGAGTATTGGACTAAGTGAATGGTAGGAGCCTTTCCAGCAATATAGTTTTATCATCCCATGACTATTAGAAGCTTCATCACATGAAAAGCTTGGTTAACTTCCAAATAAAGAGTACCAACAATCAAGCCAGGATCCAAGAAAGAGAGAAAAGGGGATTGGGCTGGCTTGAAAAGGCTTTAGAGAAGAGGAGAAAGCTGAGTAGATCTTGAAGGGTCAATAGAATTTAGGTAGAGAAAAGCAGGGTAGAGAGGATTGTAAACAACAGGAGTACAGTCAGAGTGTCATGACTGAGCCAAATTTCCTACTTAGGAAATGGTGATCTGACTGATAATTCTATCTTATAATCCTCAAGGAGCTCTTGTGTACAGAGATGTAAGAAATGAGATCAGAAAAGTCAGCTTCATCCAGAACATGGTCTGGACTTTACCTTGCAGTTGGTGGTAAGGGTGAGTCAGGGAAGGTTTCTGTGAAAAGGATGACCAGATATCCAGCCATACAAAGGGCTGGTCAGGTTTAAGGAGAGGACATCAGATACAGAGAGACCAAGCAGGGTACACCTGCCATGCTGGATCTGTGAAATGATAACAGTAGCCTGGGGTGAGGGAGGAATGGATGAGGAAAACTTTAAAAAGATTGGTAAGTCTCTGTGATCAACATATGTGAAAGCTGAAAGAAAAGACTCAAAGTTTTAGTCAGTTCAAACAAAATAAAAAAGACAGAGGAGGGCACTGATTTGGAGGAAGATGGCACAGGCAGCTTCAGGCATGTTGGCTCTGACACATTTTCTAGACACAAGGTCTAGAACTCAGAAGAGGGTCCAGGCTGGAAACACAGACTTAGAAAAACCAGAATTTGCTGACTGCAAGTAGCCATATTTCTCTACTCTTGCCTGTTACTCTCCTCTCAGTTCTTCCACTTGCTGGTTTCTACCTTTCAGGCCCAGCCCAACTCAGCTTAGCCTGGAACAGGACACTGGCTTAGTGCTCACATCCCGCCATGTCGGTGTGTGCCTTGACTGACTTTTCCCTGATCTGTCAACTGCCTGTGGATCTTTAACTTGAAGCTCGGGGTTTCAGGCATGCTTAGTGCATCCACGATGCAGTGTCCTCTGCTTTCCTCATCCCTGAGATATGGGACCTATTAGGTAACCACCCTCCATCCTCATTTTGCTCAGTTCTGAAAATTGTCTACACCATTCCAATGAACTTCAAGAGTTCTAGCCTTAGAGTGATTGTCAGGGCTCAGTGTAGACCAACCATTCAACAATGACCTCCACTGGCATCTCTTAAAGGGGCCAACCTAAGTATCTTGTTGAAGCTACCCAATGTTTTGGCTGGTTAGAGGCTGGGTCAAGTAAAACAGGTTAATAAATGGGTTTAAAATTTCCAGGACAGTGAAAAGTCCATTGGTGCAGTGGGGCTGGATGACTCCCCCTGAGAACACAGACACCTGGAATCTTAAGCGAACCTGAAGCAGTGCTAATAAATCAGTAAAGACAGAGTTGGGGTAAAATCTATGAAGCCATAAGAAACCCACACTTGATTAAACTCTCAATGTGGGAAAGGGCACAGATACAAAAATACAAATATAAAATCACTTCCTGGTCTAAAATCGAACTTGAGGGTACAGCATATACCTTCCAAGAAACAGATAAGGATTTAGGGGGTCACAATGAACAATGGGAGTTGGGTGAGCCAGTCTGATATCTGAAAAATGGAATGCAGGAATTACTCTAAAAATACCAAAAAAAAAATCTCAGCTCAGCCCTGGCCCATGGCTCAGTTGGTTGTAGCATTGTCCCATATACCAAAAGACTGCAGGCCTGATTCCCTGTCAGGGCACATACTGGGGCTGCAAGTTCCATCCCCAGCTGGGATGGGTCCAGGAGGTGACCAATCAATGTTTCTCTCACATCAATGTTTCTTTCTCTCTCCATCCCTCCCTTCTTCTCTCTCTAAAAGCCATAAACATAGCCTCAGGTAAGAAGCTTTTTAAAATCCTATATCAAAGAATCATGATTTTCATAAGAAAACCATGCATACTAGATTCCACAGTTTAATAGTATATCCATGTTAGGTAAAGACAACCTATAAATTCCTATCCAGTCATTTTACCAAGTAAAGACAGCTGTTATCCTAGTGCCATTTAAAAATCTAAACATGTTCTCAAGACAATTTCAACTTTAGAGAAAAATATTTATACATTTTTTGCAATTTCTTTTCCCTAAGGTCTGGATATGTGTATCACTTTATCTATGTTGATCAGCCACTCAACACGTTTCGTCATTTCCTCCCCTTTATACAGCATGCTTAGCCAGGGAAACTAGTCATTTCTTTAGTAAATACCAGGTGCTATATAGGCTAAAGCCCAGACACTAGTTAAGCAACAGAGTCCAAAATAGCTACTAGGTTTCAGGCTCTTTCTTACAGCAGATGGGATGAGGAGAGCCACTGATGGTCTGCAGGGCTGTACCCACATCCTGAGCACCCCACTCTGAAGATTTCATCCACAGAGGACCCGCACCTTCCTGTTGTGGCTCAGAGGACAGTGCTTTCCACACCCAGTGCTCAGAAACCGACTCAACCACATACAGCACCCACTGATACGCCATGCCCTTGCTTCTCAATGGCAGCATGGGTACGAGTGGCCTCTGAAGGTCAGCTGATCACCACCTTCCAGTCACCCTTTGCCCATGTCTCCCAGTCACCACAGAGAGAGTTGCTCCCATCGTTCTGACCTGAACCCTCAGAGCTTAACAGGCTCCCCCAGTGTTCACCCTCTGTACAGCTGGCTAAGAGTATGAAGATGATGCAGCCCCAGGCACCTCCAAGCTGAGAAAACCCTGCCTTATGAGGTAAAGAAGATAAGGATGATGTCTACCTCTGCCATTTTTAATAAAAGCGAAACTGCCTTGCAAAGGCCGGCCATCTCAACTGAGACCTCACCTGGTTCTTTGGCATGTTCTTTGGTCTTGAATTCCTGAAATTCAAACAATAAAGTAGAATTAATAAATTACTAATAATTTATTTTTTAAATCCTCACCTGAGGATGTGTTTATTGATTTTAGGGAAAGAGGAAGGGAGAGACAGAACATCAATTGGCTATCTCTTGTACACATCCCCATCAGGGATCAAACCGTGGTAGATAAATATAACAGCTTGACCCCTTTTGTAACCCTAAAATCAGACACTCCAACTAACTGTACCACCTGGCCACGGCTACTGATAGTTTCTTTACATTAAGAAAATGTGCTGACCCTGGCTGGTGTGGCTCAGTGGATTGAGTGCCAGGCTGTGAACTGAATGGATGTCGACTGGATTCCGGGTCAGGGCGCATGCCTGGGTTGTGGGCCAGGTCCCCAGTAGGGGGCACTCAAGAGACAACCATACGTTGATGTTTCTCTCCTCTTTCTCCCTTGCCCTCTCTCTAAAAATAAAATAAATAAAATCTTCAAAAAGCAAAAAGAAAAGGCGCTGGAAGCTGGCCCAGAGCTATAGGAGAGTCAACAGAAATGATCATAAAAAGCTCTGGCAGTGGTGCTTTTGAATGCACCCCATGTGCAGTAGCACATCCACTTACTCAGCACAAAAATCATTGGTGAAAATGAGTCACAAATCACAGAAACTCCAATGGGCACCAAGTGTCCAGGGAAGGGGGTAAGACCTAAATCTTTTCTCCATTTAACATTTATTGAGTGTTTCCTATGAATAAGTGCTAGGCGATTTGTTTTACAGGGGTTGTCTCATCTAATCCTCACAACAATCCCATGATATAGATACTATTACTATACCGTGTAGAAAATACTTAGTACAGGCAGATGGATCACTGTCCCCTCAGAACAATTTAAAAATAAATATAGTAAGTTCCAGGTTAAGAGCACCCAGGACAAACACACCCAACATTTTACATCTCACACCACCCTTATTATAACCCCCAAATCTTGACTTCTCTGAAGTGTCCAAAATGGAATAAGAAGTATCCCTCCCTCACTATTCCATATCTATTCCGCCACACCTGTAAGTTGCATTTCTCACTACAGTTGACTTATACTTTTTATTCCACTAGGTTTTCCTCATTGTGCTTCCAATCCCACACACCTTGGAAGAATATCCTTCTTCCCTTTCACTCACTCCTTTACTTACCTTTGTTGGAATTTCCTCTTCAGAAATATCATGGACTTCATCTGGAGCTGGGGGCATCTGGACAGTTAACTTAAATGTTTCTTTTTCTGACCATACTAACTCATGGTTCCCTCTCTCCAGAACTTTCTGACGAACTGAAATATCAGAAAAGAAGAAAAAGAGGTGGAGGAGAAGATGAAGGAGGAGGAAGAGGAGAAGAAGGAGGAGGAGGAGGAAGAAGGCAAAGTTAACTCGATCGATCTTTATTCACAAAATTATTTCATGATTTCCACAGGCTTTGTCATCATCAATCAAGGGAGGCCTTGTGTGGCAAAAAAAAAGGAAAAGTTTAGCAAGCAGACATGGATTTGAATTCTATCTTTAAACTTATTTTTTAACCTTAAGCATCTTCCAAAGCCTCTGTATTCTTGTATATTAATAAGTAGTTACAGTAATAAAGATGGTCTTACATGGGTGTTACATGGATTAAATTAAAGAAACATTATAAAGAATTTAGTAGAGCACCTGGTGTTCAGCAGGCACTCAGAAAGGGGGCAATATTTACTGTACAGTAAAGGGAAATAACTAGAAGACCGGGTGCTGGGCAAGGCATGATAAAAGCCTTATTTTAGGAAGGTGACTCAGGGTAACCAGGAGCAAAATGGCCAGGAGACTAGTTAATAAGCTATTTCGATTAATTCTTTAACTTGTGAAGATAAGAGCCTCACATCTGATAGTAAAAGGAGAAGAAAAGAAGGAATGAAGAGATTTTAAAAAATCAATAGCCCATCAGGCAGCTGAATGGTAGTAAAAAAAAGGGACAATACACATAAGAGTTTAGAAAATCTGGATTTAAATTCCAATTCTGCCACAAACTCCATGAGTGACACTGAGAAAATATCTTAACTTCCCTTAAATCCGTTTCCTCGCTCAAAGGATGGTCAGTGAACTAATTTTGTAACATCCACAGAGCTATGCAAATGTAGTTTTCACGACAAGAAAGAGCAGCCAGAGAGAAAGGGAAAGCTGTGTGTTTGAGACTGTGAAGTAAAGGGAACAAGTGTAGATGAGAAAGTGCGCTCGGCACAGTCAGATGGTACAGAGATGTCAGGGTGAAGGAGAACCTGTGAAACGAAGAATAGGAATCTCTCAAAAAGAAGGGCTTGAATAGCTTTTCCACTTCAACATCCATGACGAGGTAGGAGAAGTGAGGTCTTAACTGGATGCCAACTGGACAAAACATCCCCAGAATCAAAATGAGAAGAAATGCCAGACTCTAATTCACTCTTCCTGGGAGTCTTTACCCAAAATCCTTAGGGGCTGCCCTAAGCTTGAGTGAGGCGTGGGGAAGGCCCCAGAAAGGAACCTAAGTTTTCTCAGTTGTGGACCTCTGTGATGCATTCACTTTATTATTCCCTAGACTTGGGTAGAGTCACATCCAGGCATTTAAATGTATCAGCCTGTTCTCTGTGCAGCATGTGTGGGGACCACTACTTCAAAAGGGCAGATGGTAGCAAGATCAGTAAGTGCTCCCCAACCAAGAGGAGGTGAACCTGGGAGAAAAAAAGACCTGAAACTCTGATGTCCAGCCAGGCTTGCCTGAGTGACCCGTGTCCCACTAACCTCAAACCATCCACATTTACTTTTTTTAAATGAGAAGATGGGTTCAAAGAGAAGATGGGTTTCCTTACCCCAAGGAGACTGACAATAATCAGGAGCCAAATTATGTCCAGAGAAGATGATAAAAGTACACATGTGAAACAGGATTTAAACTCTTCTAAGTCAATTTATACTCAACTTATAGAAACTCAGTGAACTATGTAAAAGTAAGATACAGCTTCTAAACAGTGCCTGTGTGCTCTAGAGTAATTTCTACAGATAAATGTTGGTGGGCTCATTCTTATTATGGGAATTATATGACTAAAGCCATATTACACAGTGAGCCTGCACCTGCTGAGGCCACTTCCTGTGTGGAGAGGGAGGGTACCCCTGTACGAGATCTGTCCTGGGGCTGCTGGGTCAGGTCGTTCACTGTTAGCAAATTCCTGGCAACTTCCTGCTGAGAAATCTATTCTTCTGATAGGAAACTGAAACTGACTGGGACTTCCCACTTCCCAAGAACCTTGACCATGTCAGCGCCTGAGTCACTAAGTTTTGAGGTGTCTGTGCAGGAGGTAAACAAAAGGATCACTGGAACAACCTGGGGTGCAGGAAGGGGATCCCCAGTAGAATATGTGAAGAAAGAAGCCTGGCAGGAGACTGAAATTAGTTCTGCTTTGAGGAGAGAAGGATGGTATCATCACAAAATTATATTTTGCACTGATTGTATTTTTTGCTGTTTGTGTTTTCTAGAATCATCTCCCTTTTTGCTCATTCAGGGTCAACAACAGAAAACGGGATCTCAGACTCTAGGGCGTTGGAGTCACCCGGGGTGCTGGTTCAAAGTGCTGACTCCCTCTCACCCGCAGACACTCAGGATTCTGAGTCTAAGGGACAGAGCTTGGCTGTGTCTGTGCAACCTGCGGTGAGCTGGATGCACAGGGGCTATGGCCCCAATCTGAGAGCTCACTCCTGAGGGTAACGGGATGCCAGGGAAGAAAGGAGCGTCCCTGAGGGCCAGCCCCACGCGGATGTTAACAGTTGGAATCAAAGCGGTAACATCCCCTGAGAAAACGACTTACATCATACGGCTGCCCTTCTGAGCATTCCTCGGTGAAATTCACTCTTGGAAAACTTTGTACTTTGTTTTCTTAACAGTTCTGAGCCAAGTGGGTCTCCTGCCCCGCTGCCCACTTCACTTCCTCCACACTTATCTGTGTACCCCTTTCCTCTCTGGGTCTCATCTTTCCTTTCTGGATCCTTGCATAAAGCTTTCCAATGGCTCTCCTGGCCTTGTAAGCCTCCTTGCCTCTCCTCCGGCCCCAAAGATTCTCAAATCCCACAACAGGAAAGCACAGTCAGAGGGTGTCCACATCCTTTCTTATGAGATTTCAATGGAAAAGAGCAGGTGGGAGCAGGTGGTCACGTGGCTCCCACTACAGGACCTGGTGGAGGCCTTAAGCGAACAGATGTTTGGTGGATATCTGTCCTCCACCCTTCTGAAACAGCAGCAACAGCAAGCAGGAGGAGAGAACTCAGCTGCTCAACTGCCTGTGAGGAGGGAATTTCCCCCTCAAAAGCGTGAAACTCCCAACCTTGGTCAACCCAGTCCACCGGCCACCCTGAATCCCAGGGACAAAGTACCGAACTACCAACAAAGATACTGTGTTGGTCAAGAACAAGCTGTCACCCCCGCTCCAGTAACTCTCCCTATTTTGCTCAGACAATGGGATTTTAAGCAGCGTCTCTGCCCCTGTCTCAGTTGACCCCAGAACCGCAGGGCATCTCCAGGACCCATGGGGAAGTCATCTGGACTCCTCCCATTGCTTAGCCCCTCTCTTTCCCCACCTGTAAAGCAGTTTACAGAAAGAAAGGGGCTTTCCCTCTCCTTCCCTCTCAAACGGAGCACTGACCATTCCCACATAATCGGTCACCACATCCAGAACGACACACAAATGTGTCTTCCTTCCCCATGCTAACGGCCACTGTTTAAGGACTCACTGTCCTCGCTGGAGCACTGCACAGATCTCCAGTGCCCAGGGTGGCTGTGCATGGGCCCAACACAAAATCCTACACTTAGTTAGAACAATATGAGATATTTTTGTGATTACGTGTAGCAGTGTACTTAATGTGTGGCCCAAGACAACCCTTCTTCTTCCAGTGCGGCCCAGAGACACCAAAAGTTAGGACACCCCTGTAAAGGTCTGAGTTTCATGGTGTCTCTCAGAAGAAATCAATGTACTTATTTTCAACCAAATTTATCTCACTGAAGTATTCGATATATTGAACATACTGTCCCCAGAAACTGTTTCTTCCCTTAAAATTATGTTCCCATAAACCTTGGGAGTTCTAGAACCGCTGCTTTAATAGGCAGAAGGCAAAAGGCACGATTGATGCAACTCTGCCATTCATACACTATGTCCCCTTGTGAAATGAGGTGATTCTATACCCTGCGCGGTTCTGCCGCCACCTCCCAACAGCACCGCTGAGCACCTGCAAGCGCAGAGCAGGGGAACCGCAGCGACCCCCAACCCGCGCACCCTTGGACCATTTTGCAACTCTCTACGTCTGGAGAGCCAGGCGGATTCTCCCACCGTGTGCCCCAGTCCCAGGTTTCCCCAGCCGGGAGAGCCGGGTGGTTCCCGCCCACACCCGCCCCAGGCGCCCCTCACCGTCTTGCTGGTGGAAGAGCACCAGGAAGCGGACCGGATTCCCGGGATCCTGGCGGACCTCACACTCTCCGCCTCCCGCTCTCTTCTGGCTCTGGAAGTATATCTGCAACTTGGTGCTCAAGTTCTTCGGGGGGTAGGGGCCCCAGGACCCCTCGACAAGCAGCGGGAAGAAGCCCGGCGCAGCCATCCTCAGCTCCGCAGCCAGCACTGCCAGTCCCACTCCGGCTCTGGGCGGTTAACTTGGCCTCTTTCGCTTTCGTTTCCTGGAGAACTCCCTGCCCCTAAGATCTGCCTTTGTGAACAGCGGCCCCGATTTGATTAGTCACCGATCTTCACTTACATCTGGGGCCCACAGCAAAGGCATCTGGGCATGCACGGGTACCGAAGCTCAGGTCTTATTTGCCCCTCTCGCACAAGTCACAGGTGAAATCAGTAGCTTTGGGCCCCAAGACTTCATGCGAACAAAGTTTTTTTTTTTTTTTGCCACACCCATTCTTTTTACAAGGAAATAAAATGGCTCATCAAACAGTGTTTTTCTAGAATGCTTGGGGCCCATTCGGGAACTTCTTTCAATCAATTGTTAGGATTTTATCTTCCTTCGTTTGCAGTTTGTTCCATGATCTGTTAATTACATTATATATCTAGAAATAGGGTCGGGAGGGGAGAATGGTACATTAATGGTTGTTTTTTGTTTTGTTTTGTTTTGTTTTGTTTTGTTTTGTTTTGTTTTGTTTTGTTTTATCCTCACTCAAGGATATATTCATTGATTTGAGAGAGAGAGAAACATGGATGTGAGAGAGAAACATCCATTGGTTCCCTCTGGTAGTTGCCGGACCGGGATTGAACCCACATTCTAGGTATATGCCCTGACTGGGAATCAAACCTGCAACCTTTTGTTGTGCAGGACAATGTTCCAACCAACTTAACCACCCAGCCAGAGTCATATATAAAAGTGGAATATATACATGATGCCATGCACTCAGGGTAGATTCAACCGTCTCACCCAGGCTCCGCCCTCTCTGAGTTCAGGAAGCTGTGGGACTCAGAGGAGTTAAGACCCAGTGGAATAAATGCTCTTGGAAGGAAGAGGCAGGTGATCAGGGAACAAATGGGAGGAGTTCAGGGAGGGCTTAAGGGGAGGTGACGTGTAACCTGAGGTTTAAGGGTAATGGGCATGGTAACCTTGGAGAGTTGAGAGGAGGAGCGTTTCGTAATGTGACTTCCTTGTAAAGAATCACTCTGTCTGCTATGTGGTAGCTAGAGTACAGGTAGGGAGGCCACCAGTGGGCTATTGTATTGTCCCAGGTAAGAGATGGAAGTGGCTGGGACCAGGGTGCTGGCAGAGGAGGAGCCTCTGAGAGAAGGTAGGGTTCTAAATTAATCTTGAGCCACAGCTCAGGACTGGCTGACGATGTGGGGAGTAAGAGAAGATGCTCACGGATGACTTCCTGGTTATCCACAGGCGGCCTGAGCAACTGGCTAGATCAGCGACTTTCAACGAGTGTGCCTTGAGCATGTTTAAAACATGCAACACCTGACTCTTTAGTCATGGACACTGACCTCTTTTCCCTTAGATTGTCAAACTAAAAATATATGTATGATAATAGCCAACACAGCAATAGTTGTCTGGTGGGGATGAATGAAAAAGGTTGAAAATTGCTGGGCTAGATAATAGTGACATCATTCAAATGGGAGCACCAAGTGGAGGCCAGAAAGGTAGAAGAGAGGCTAGGAATGTGTTATTATTGACTCAATAAAAGAATGTTTCCAGTGAGGAGAGATCATCATTCAAACACCACCAATGCATCCAGTGAGAGAAGTGTCCCTTGGACTGCTGGGGACCTTGCAAGCACTGTCTCCTAGTGAGGGGACAGCAGATGGAGATGGCAGTGGAGGGAGAACCGGAAGCAAGGGAAGGAAGGGGAGACAACAAGAGAGTCAGCTCTTCCAGAAGTGTAACCAGAGTGGAGGAAGGAGTTAGGCAGCAGCTTAGAGGACTATAGGATCCAGCCGTTGTTGTATTTGTTTTCTGGTTTTTAAATTAATTTTAAGATGGAAGAGTTTTAGGCATGTTTAATATTGTTAGAAAGAAGTAAAGGGAAGGTTGAAGAGACAGGTTGTGAGACAAGGTGGGATGGAATCCTGGAGGCAGTAACCTTAGGAAGGGGACACTGTCCCACTACACCAGGAGCAAGGTAGAGATGGAGTACAGAAGTAGGTCATTCTGAGTGACTGTTGATGGACCGTGTGGGAGTCCTCCCCTGACGGACTCTGTTTCCTCTGTGAAGGAGGTAGTGAGGTCTCTTAGACTCTGCCAAAATTAGAGCTGCATTTCCCTGCAGGGCTGGAACTGACGTATTGTCCCTCGATCACAACAAAACTGAATTTTGGAGATGCAGAGAGCCAGAGATGGGCTGGAGTTCAACAGGCTTTTGTTCCTGATCCATAATGATGCTAGAGTATTCGGATATCTTCTCCAGTTTTCTACCTGCAGGTAGCGCTCACCATCCAGTCCAAACCTGCCTGGTTTCTGGTGGAGGAAGTGGGGAAGGCACAGAAGGGGGCTAGTGGCAGCTGTCGGTCACGCAGTGGTGACTTTTTCCACACAAAGCATCCTGCCACAAATCACAACTAAAATCAGCATCCTCTTCTCCCCAAAGTTTCAGAGTCAAGAACTGGACAAACAGTTTATCTTTTTGCTCATATCATCATTTTACAAGAAATAAAATCAGAGTGAAACCGAAACCCTTTATAGCAGAAGTTTTAGCTGGCCATTTCTGTTTTTTTCTTTCAAGGATTCATTTAATTATCAGCAGCAACGTGGCTCGCCACTGGAGGTCTGCTCATCATCCCTGGGCAGATCGGGAAACAGCCATCAGGGAATCAGGATGGCAGGTCTTGAAAGCCAAGGAAATCTGTTCTACAAGAAGTAGATTGTTGACTGTCATCAGCCCTGAAGTACACAATACTTTGTCATCTCTCCTAGGTTGTTTTGACCTGATTCACTGTTGAACTGGTACCCTTTCCCCTCCCATAGTGTGCTTATCCTCTCAATTCTCTCTCTCCAGTGGGTATCTACCTCCTGAAACTCATTTCCTCCCAAGGAAGCAAGTGTCCTCTCCGGGCCTGGGGGTGGTCGCCCTCCAGCATAGGAATGACTATGTTCTCATGGCTGTTCTAGGTTCTCCTTTCACCTCATAGCCACAGCTGATCTTAATATAAAAACCCACATCTGGCCTGGCTGGTGTAGCTCAGTGGATTGAGCGTGGGCCTGCGAACCAGATGATCGCGCTTCAATTCCCAGTCAGGGCACATGCCTGGGTTGCAGGCCAGTTCGCAGCAGGGGACGCATGAAAGGCAACCGTACATCGATATTTCTCTCCCTCCCTCCTTCCCTTCTCCTCTAACGATAAATAAATAAAAATAAAATCTTTAAAAACCCACATCTATATTTTTGAGCTGAACTTTCCTTTCTCAGCTTCATCTAAACTTCCTCTTTCGGCTTCTCTGAAACTGTCAATGCAAACTTCTAACAGCCGGCTCCTTTCAACTTCTGTGCAAACTTCTCCTACAAACTCTCCCCATTTTTCCCACTGCAGTGCATATCGCGGAAAGGATGGCTTTCCCATCTGCTCTGGACCAGCGAGTTCTGAGCCCCTCAGGTCCACTTCTCTGCCTCACTTTGCCCCTGAAACTCCTGGCCTAGTCCCACAAAATAGGATGTGACTTCAAAAGAAGAGGGTGAACTCTCCGTTACCACTGCAAGTTTAGTTCTTAGAGAGTCACCTGATGGACACGCCCAGTTCCGGGCTTTGTTCCCTGTGCCCATGTCCCTTTCAGGAAGTTCATCTTCTTCAAGCCTGCGCAGAGAAAGTCTCCAGTACATCCCAGCCTTCCAGCACAGTAATTCCTAATGACCATTTTCCCAAACAGGAGTCATTTAGGTTCACTAATACTACCGTCGAGTAGGAAGTGGAGGGAGGCTTCTGCGGAAGAGTCCAGAACAGATTGGATCTTTCCAAATTTGTGTGAGATGAAGAGTAAAGCAGAGTAAAGATCCTTCCTGCTCATCTAGTAGGTACCCACCGAACCAGATAGAGAGGCGTATATCTTGAGACAAGCACTAACTCTCAGAAAGAGTGCAATCTAGGTCATGTTAAAAAAGGAAAACGCAGTATTTTATTTTTACACCATATCATCATGATCACTAGTGATGTGCTGTTAAACACTGAACAACCAGCTTGCCGGGGAAAAGAAGTTTGCATATGTCTTTGTTCATTACAAATTTTATGAGTATAAAGGGCATATAACACATAATTTACAAGTAATAATAAAATGTACAGTATTCTTTATTGTAAGTTTCCAATAGCCGGTGGATTCTCACATGTTTCAAAGATTTTCGCCCAACACACATCTGTCGCCAACCTATGGCTGCAATTACTGATGCAGCTCTGATCTAAAAGTTAATTTATACTTTTGTTCACATTACCAAGTGAGATGAAAATGAAACAATGAAGACATACATCAGAACTTCTCTTTCTTTGTCAGTGGCATGAGCTCCTTCCTGCCTTGCTGAATTGGATGACAGTTTTCAAATACTGCAAGACTATTTTCTCAATTGTTTGTGCTCTTTACAATGTAATGGCAACAGACATGACACACTTTTAAACTGAATCTTCCTAAGTTCAGACAATCAACAAAACAATAAGTCATAAGACCCTGACATATAGAGTTTGCCAAATACATAGTATAAATATTCTTGTCATGACTGATTTTAAGTTCCCCATGTAATATCACTGAATGCAGAGTTGGGAAGAGATGACCAGTAGCACTCCCTTACTTAATACTTCTACCTCACAGATACAATAGACATCAATGACTCAAGAGTACAGATCATAGTGAAGTGTCGTAAGTAATTAGGAAGAGATGAATTTTTCAGTATTCATTATTTTTTAAAAGAAAATCTGTTTTATTATACATTTACACAATGTAATTCTAAATAATGATAATTAATAACTGGCTCACAAAATGTCTGAAAATTTAGCAATCAGCTCTGGTGAACCAAGATGGGCCTACTCCAGCACAAAACTCAACCCTTCTCCCAACAGAGGTAGTATTATCAGATAGAGCAGTTGGTACACTCCCACACCCAAACCCCACCTACCAACTGTTGAACTAATATTCTCCTAGTTAAGCAGATTTTAAAAGGGATTGCTTCTCTGCAGAGAGTTAGTCACCAAGACAAACATTCGTTAATCTATTTGTGACTTTTGAGACATCTATCCTGAAAGAAATAAATATTCTTGAAAATTGTAAAACAAGCATAAATGTAGCAAACAAAATTTAAAGTGTAATAATTGATAGTTATAACATATTTATAAGAAAATTAATAT